TACTGTTTGTTTCAGCGCAATAATTAAAAAATGGCAGAGGTGTGATAGGCACAGTAACAAAAATGTACAACAAAGATGATATTCCTAGGCAATTTAGGTTACTACGTACAGGTGCACTACAAACTGAGTTATACAAGCACTAATCTCATAAAAGACTTAAATGACATCCAGAATCTCGATGTTATTTTCACAACTTTAGGCCATGTTTGCAACTTTAATATTTTTAAATAAGTCTGCCTTGATATGGTTTTCTTCGAGGAAAGCTAACAAATTTGTTTTGTTTATGCAGTTTGCCTTTTCGTTTCCTGCGCCATTAAGGTATAGTTGATATATTTAATAGAAATTGTTAGCATTTTAAAATTGCGCTTTCTAAAATCTTCGAGATATGGCAAACATTAATCTTTAAAAAACTATCAACAATTGTTTATAATGCAATATTTATTTGAAAAAAATCAGATAAAAAATTTTAAGTAGTAAAAAAAGGAAAATTAAAAATGTTATAATATACAAAAGCTCTCTCATAGTCGAACCCAAAGAGTAGACGATTTGAAGGTTAGCTGAAATTCCACTGGCTATTTCTGACTGCAAAGCTCCAGTCATTAAATTATTATATTTTGTCAAGGTTTTGACTGACAGTTTTAAATAAACAAAAATTAAAGCTAAAAATTTATTTGACGGTGTAAAGGTATTTAATTAAACAAAATTTCAGTAAAGAGAATGAAAAAAATATAAAATAATTGTAGACTAACAAAACCCAAAAAACTTTTTAACTTTTGACTACTAAACTAACATAAGTAAATAAATAAGCAATCTTGTTAAATTGCCGGTTTCCGCAGCATAGCTAAGAATTTTCTATTTTTTTATATTTATTTAATATAATTTTTATTAATTTAGCATTGATTTTTATTTTTTAAAATTGTAGTTTGTAATATTTTTTTGTAGTTTGTAAATTGCACTTAAAGACATGACAAAAAATGGGGGTTAGCGTGAAATATTATAAGGGCATATACATTAATGCCAATTTTTGGCAGTCATATGAATCCCAAAAAGCTGACAAAGGGCATTAACGCTTGTAATGCCTCCCCTCTTAATTTTTAAATTAACGAGGGAATATTATAAACGAGAGGGTAATTTTTAAGAGGGGTGGAGAGTAATTTTTAAAGAATTTTTAATAGATTTCTTCATAGCATTTTAATGTGTAGGGAGGGCATTTAAAAGAGTTAAGTCGGTTTAATAAAGAGTGTTTGTCTCTTGGCTATAATTTTAAATTTTGAATTTTAAAATTTTTAAGAGGGAAAATAAGGCGTGTTTTGCTCATAATGCCGTCGCATTCCCAAACCACGCCTTCCCTTAACTTGTTTTTAAATTTGACAAAAATAGGTAGAGCCCTTCATCTCAGGCATTTTATTTTCATATTATTTTAAAGTAAGTTTTATTAATAATTACCCTCAACTTATAATTGTTAAAGCCATAAGCACGCCAATTAAAATGCTTTAATTCGCCGCACAAAATAATTTTGTTAATTTTTAGTTGAAATGTTAATTTTAATATTTCTTCTTGTTTTTGCCAATCTCCAAAGAGGTAAATTTTGAAATGCTGGGAATCCCTTCCTAGACAAATAAAATCGAAAAAATGATTTTTTAGGTTTTTCCGAGACGGAAATCAACGGAATTGATGCTTTGAAAATGGCAAAATGCTACATGGATGCATTTTACCAGAAGCCACCTTCAATTCCTCGTAAATTAAGAAATAAAAAGGAAATATTTCTTTAAATTTAGGTAATGATATTGTTGCAATGGAAGAAACTTTAAATCCACACTTGGCTTTTTCTGAACAGATTGACGAATGCTTGGAGGACATAGAAGCGATTGTAATGTTTATATTACAATAAAGACATGATGGTCGTATAACAAAAATATGGAAGGCTATTAAGGAGGGAGTTGTTTTTTTATTAAGGAGGGAGTCCTTCCCTTATCTCTTCTCGCAAGGCGCGCGCTTTCATGCTAACATAGCCTAATAAGGCAAAGAGAGGACTCGCATGCTCTGTTGAATAAGAGGATCATGCGATAGACAAGATAAACAAAATATAAGAAAAACAAAACTCAGGGAGGGGAGGGGGATGTTCAATCGTGATTTCTCCTTTCAATTTTAAGGAAACTGATATTAAATTTTCTTTAAAATTAAGGATAACCTCCACAAAAGTTTGTTTGAAAACTCAGGTTTGACTAAATGGCGTCAGACTAGAATTCAAAAACTGAAAAAGCAATACAACAAAAATATTCGAGCATATGTTCCTCTTCCAAACAAAGAAACTACAATGAGAGAATGGCTTAAAAACTTGAAATTTGAGGAGAAGAAAAAAATATTGTTTACCTGGCAAAATTATAATCCGGAAAAATTGAAAGTGGCATTTTTAAAAGAATTCGATAAAGAGTATAAACAATGGCGGGATAATGTCTTTTACCCGTCTTTGGGAAAACCCGACGAACTCAAAAGAATGTTGATTTCAAAATTTACAAAAATAGGTAAAACAGATACCGATTTGTTGGATAAAATCAAAAAAGTGATGGAAAATGAAAAAAAGGAGGATGATAAAAAGGCTGCTGAAAAGAATAATGAAAAAAAGGAAAATTTGATAAATTCGCTTTATGTTAGCCTAAATATTAAAAAATTCAAAAAATGGCGTAAAATAACGAAAACAAGCATTGAAAAAATTCAAAAAGTTTTTCTTAAAAATATTGACTATAGTTACAATACATGGCGCAAAACACTCAGCACTTTCTCTATGCCTTTGAGATCCGCTTATTTGACCGTTGGTGGGGATTTGATTCGAAAACTGGTTAATGAGGTAGTGTAGCTAATTTATTTTTCAATATCCCTCCCGTAGGTGGAAACCTCCCCGTAGGTAGAGTAGATAAATTTCCGCGCAATTTCTGGATAGGTTGTCTATTATAAATTTTTCTAGCCAGATAGAAAGTTTTACCTGGACATATTTGGTACCATTTAGTAGGTATTAAATAAGGCTACAAAAATACACATGCGTGCCACAATCAAAAGAGGTGAAATTTTGGGGACTGAATTTTTTTGCAAAAAAAGTGAGATTATAGAATCACGTTGACTAGCCATAATAGAGAATTGAATGAGCTAAAAAATAAGCCTAAAATCAATTAAAAATATTGACAACAAAAAAAGTTATAAGGATTTAAAAGTGTGCAATTACTTATGGCGCACCCTGTAAATTTCCGCCTCTTTATATCTAATTTATTTTTAAATGTCTCCCTTTGGGGTGAAAGCCTTACGTAGGTAAAAATGTCTGCAATTAACGAGTTCTGCAAATGCGGACAGCAGGATCAAAACTGTTGGTTATGTATGTAAAGGCTATGTAAAAGGCTAAGGCTTATCCAGTCGTGTTTTAAGTTACTCCTGATCAGAAACACATAGTTTCTTCCTCTTGTTTTATTATATTTCGAGTTGCTTCTTGTTAGTGTTATGTTTATATCATTTGAAGTTATGAATAAATAAAGCTTAAATCAAAAATTAATTTAACGATTTAAAGATATCTGATGAGGATTTGAAAACAACTCTGAATGGAATGTTACAACGTATCAAAATTGAAATAGAATCAAACTTTCCGAATGTTGCATATTCCTTTTTACGTAAAAAATTTGACCCTAAAGCTTTTGACGATGCCAATAAAATATTGGAATCTACACTGGCATCAGTTAAAGTTAACGGAGAACTTGGTATTTTTTGCCGTATATTTAATATTCAAGAGTGGAAAAATTTTTACTGAATCTAGTAGTTTGGGACTGATACGTTCCGTTTAGCTTACCTCAGGTTTTCGACCCTCTAAAGGTGTAATAAAACATATATGCTAAATTGCAATATGTATTGAGAAAACTCAAAACATGCAAAAAAATATGAAAAATAACTTAGAATAAGCAAAGACATGCTAATATGTACGAGAGTGCCAAACTAAGCAAATATATGCATTAATTATGGGGTCCAGAAAAAATCGGACCATCGGACCTAATGAGATTTCTTCTGTTTTGTATGTTTTTGAGCTTGGCCTGATAGGAACAATATCAAAAAAAATCTATATTTTAGTTCATAAATTTGGAAATAAAAAAGGAAAATAGAAAATAGTGGTTTGAGCCCTATTTGGAAATAGAAAATATTGAGCTTCTCTCTTCAATTCATAATTATATACAATCATTCGAATGTATTTTCTAACTTTAACGATAACATATAAATTAAATAAAAACTTCTTTAAGGCAAAGATTATCAAGCGTATAGTCCACAGTTTCCAAAGGTCCTAAAAGTTATCTCGGTTGTCCGCCATGGAGAAAGACTTGACAATGATAAAGAAGAAAAAAAGAAAGCTCTCGAAAGAGAAGAACAATGCTACTATAATGAAGATTGTAGCAGAAAATTTGGACTAGACAACTCTCCTTTGAACGAAACGGGAATAAAGAGAGCTACGATATTGAGAAAAGTGTAAGATTTATTTCTGAATTATTTAAGGAATGCCTAAATTTGCTGAGGATAGCGAGCTAACATTTTTAATTGTTATAAGACTTAGTAACGAAGAAACGTAGTAAAAAGGTTTTTAATTCATAGGATAAAGAATACATTTGTGTCCGAACATAACAAAGCTAAGGAAAAAATATAATAACGGATATCGCCATAAAATCTTTCTTCTTCGAACAAACAATAATCCCAAAAACCTTTTTCTGAACTATAATCTAAGCTTCTACCCAAACAAGTGTTGGCCATGGGATGTGGAGCCTTACTGAGAGACCTCCGATGCAAAGTTTTCAGCCGCCCAACAATACAAACACCGATTGACTGTTTTCAACAACTCCAACCTCCACTAACACATAAGACTGCCCAAGCTTAAACAAGTTTCAAATATTTGGAATACTTTTGGAACTTTACTTAATTTTTGAATATTTTTGTTATTTTAACTTTTAGCTTCGACAATATCAATATTCAACACATTTTTTCTTCTCCATATGAACGGGCATTGCAAACAGCTTTACTTCTTTTAGGGGAAAGCCACAAAAATTTTGATTCTAAAGGGAATTTGGAGAATGAATTGAAAATAAAGGTAGAACCTGGATTTATAGAGAACATGATTGATTGTGTCAATAAACCTATTGGTTATGAGGATATTGAAGAATTGGCAAAGCATCATTCTCGCTTAGATACTGCATATGTGCCTATTTTAAATAGAATTGACTTGGCAGCAGATTACAAAAAGGTATATTATATTAGCATAATATTCAATATGGATGGGATCTATATACGGATTTCAATTTTTCCTTGCCTCTCTGGCTCCTGAAAGTAAGGAACAATTTTAGCACACCTACATATGCTAAGGTTTATTGGGCAGATGGAGATTAATACTGTAACCTGCTCATCTCCTTTCTCGATTAACATTCGTATTACGGAACGGGTCCTGAATTTCAGTACGGGGTCCTGACCGTGGCGCTTCCATACACTAAGATTGAGAGTTGATACAAATCCTACTCTTAGTAATCAAATAAATTTTAATTAATAAAGGACGAAGGCCGAAGATCAGACATAGGTTGTAATAATCGTCTTGAATATGTGTTAAATCAACTTCTCTATAATGATGAAAAACAATGTTTAAAAGATCTATTCTTCGATAAAAGTTTGGTCGATCAAGACAAAGAAGGCAAGGATTATAATGAATGGATCCAGCCAGGAGAGGAAACCGCAGGTATGTGTGTGTCCAAATATATTATTGTCTGCATGAGTTGGACTAAAACACAGACTGCAATTTTTTATTAAATAATATTTTTCCAGAGCAAATTGTAATTGTTGCGCATGGATTGATGATTAATGCCTTTCATAATCAAATTTCAGGGATGTTTACATATGCAGCTCAGGTCCGTAAATATAACTAGATATATTTAATCTTAATATTGTTTCAGACTTCGATCGTTAAAATTGTTGAATTGGATCCATCAAGGTAATGATAAAATTTTCTTTATGCTTTCACTATGATCCTAGCAGTATCTTTCAAAAAAATTTTCAGTGAGTATGCAAAAGGTCAACAAGGAACCTCAAGTGCATCAAACGGAAACGACTATTTTAAAAACCTTCGATTAGTTTATTTTGGGGCTGTCACACCGTTATTAGAAGCCGGAGAGAAAATTGAAGAGTTGTTCAATCATTGAGAAGCATTCTAGAGCTTGAACAGCAAGCGATGAGTGTGTAAAAAATGTAAAAACTACTCTTATTTAAAAATCCTTTAGTCTTCTGAGCTCTTTCGATATATAAATTTCATCCAAAAAATTTCAAGTTTTGAGAATGAAAAAATAGAAATAAACTCGAAAACATCGAAAGAGCTTACTTAGTGTTATTTTAAATTATTTTCCTATCTAACACAGGACAAGAAATTTTGCAAAAACAGAAATGAAGCCATGATGTACCCTTAACCAAGTCTTGTAACTAGGGACAAGTTTTCTAAGTATTCACTCTGACAAAAAATCTGAAAAAAATTAAAGCAAGCATATTTGTCGATAATATGAGGAAATTAAAAAGCCCATATATCATTTAAGTGTCTAGATCTTCCCAAAAATATTGGCTTCTATACCTATGACTGTAAATCCAATCTTTAAGTGCCCCTATAAAAATCGAGAAAATGTATCAGAGGAAAGTAAAAAACATATCAAAATTTTTCTTATTCTAAAAACTTTATATTTTTTAGAAAATTTATACAGTAAGAAAATTTCTTCCATTTTTTAAAGCTTCAGTAAAATTTCTGTTCTGTCAAACCCTAGTAAAACCACCATTATTTTTTTAAAGTATGAAATTATTTTATTTTAAATTTATTCTTTAACTTTTATCGCATTTTATATTTAAAACAATAGTTTAGTATAAATCTTATAAAAAGCTTTTTTAAATTACATTTTTTCTATTGTTTATTTTTTTGTTAAGAATTCTGTTGCTGGTTTTTCGGTTCGGATCCTCACATCCATAAATTTCCAAGAATATAGAACTAGAGATCGGACCGTACCGTACTACGGCCGTATTTTTCGGTATTTATCGGTATTCCGTATCGGTATTACGGTATGGAATACGGTACGGAACAAAATTCCGATCTCTATATAGAACATTAGTTAGCATACACTCTCTATATTAATGCCATTAATTATGTTGCTACAAGGTTTAACTTGGATTGTTGGATGTACTTTTATTCCAAGCATTTTTCTTATAATTAACTTTATTTTGTTGAATTCTTTCCTGTATGCCTTGTTGTAGTCAGTACTGAAAATTTGATTTAAATTTAAAAATGTTTTATTATTCAGAATTCTATGATTAAGTCTCTTCAAACTGAGTCGAATCGTATCAAAATTAGTACGCTTCTGTCATATTCGGGCTCAGCACCTCCAATAAACCTTAAGCTAACGATAGAGCATTCTTCCTCATTTTTTCACGTGATAACAGTAAAAGCCACCATCACCAAATTTTGTCTAAATTTACCTGTTTATAAAAAGAATAGGAGCTGATGACATAGATGCCAAATTTAAAAACAATCCAGGAAATATCACGAGATTGAGAAACTGTATGGGATTATCACATTTAATTGGAACGAGAACAAATATCATAATTGAAAAATTAATAAAATAGCCCCCAATATTTACAAAAATAATTAAAAACAACGATCGCCAAAGTTTGTTTTTTTTGTTGTCATTTGAAGTAACTTAATAATATATGAAAATTAGTTAAAGTTACGGAACATGTTAAGGATATTAGGGAATATTCGCTAAAATTAGATATTCCAATACAAAACGAAAATCATTGGCTATCCGGTTTTTTCATGAACATTTCCGACCAGGGGTGGGCTTCTGGCACTAAATCCAATTTTGCGTTCTTGCGTTATTTGCGTTAAATTTTGGCCTTGCATTGCGTTTTGCGTTTTTTAAGATAGTCTCTCGCGCCCACCCCTAGTTTCGACCTGGCAACTTGAATTTAGTGATTCCAGGAAAGCATCCCCTAATATAAAATGTGGATTGGATCCTTTAAAAAAATGTTAACAATTCTGTTAACAATTCTTAACATCCTTTCTAAATACTTGATTCATATATATCCATTCATAAAATTTACCCTTTAGGCATTTGACAATCAAGCCGATAATTAAATAAGGAATAATTGGAGGAAGCATGGATAATGGTGAAAAAATGAATGTCCAAATACTGCTATTTTGTGTAATTAATGATAACGAGTCTCCAATACTCCCATTAACTGGCCAATCCGGATAGAGATAAATAACTTGAATAATTCTGTAGATGACAAAACAAATAAAAGTTATAATAACTGTCAGGTGCATAAAAATATAGTAGCGACGTTTTACTGTTTGATAGCTATAAATATAATGAACTTTTATAAGTTTAACTCAGGTTATAAAATGATTAGTTGACAATTTGCAATTAAGGATATAAATACGACATAAAAAGGACAGACTTGGATTTTTGCGATATATAGCATAAAGATAAGAAATGGAGGAAAATTATATTCTCCTTCTAATAGGGAGAGCTCTCTCTTTTATTTTTATTCCGCCTTTCGCTTTTTAAAATCAGTTTCAGCACACCACTACTTAAATATAAGATAATCTTACAATTCATCTTGAGGATTTAAAATGCTCAGGGAGGGGGGGGGAGTCGAGTTAAAAAATGAAGGCAAGAGCTGCCGTCAATTCTGGACATGACTCTCGCAGATAGCTACTAGAGCCAGTTGCTTCTCATAAGCGTATTTTAATTATTTTTAATAACTTTAAAATTTAAAAACATACAAGAATGGAAATGCAACAGCTAAAAGTCTGTCAAAACTTAGAGAATACATCATTAAGATTATGGAGAAATATCCAATCATTGAATGAAAGTGGAAGACAATAGCCTTCTTGAAAGGAATAAAATTTGTTCCGCTTGCTGTAACCGCAAGAAAGAGGAAATGAGCACTAAACGTTAAACTTTCGAAGACGGAATTCAATGTGATTAGAATAGCTGTTTTACTTCCTAGCGTAGTATATTGTTTTCTAAATTAATCAAATTATAATTAGATACCTATTGTTGTATATTGTTTTCTAAATTAATCAAATTATAAACCTATGTGGTGTTAGTTATAAGAGAAGGAGTTTAGTTAAAGTTTAGCTACCGGGCAGGAACGAACCAGCAACAACGCTGACAGTGCATGCGCGGCCTTGCTCACGCAAATGCAGGTACTCTAACACTGAGCTACTCTATCCTTTTACATTGTCTAACCCCCGTCGTTTTAAATGCTCTAGGTGAATCGTTTTAAATGTCTAAGTGGCTCTAAGTGAATATGCCAAATCATCGACGAGCTCATAAAAATCATAAATGTCTATGTAGTCACCTTAAAATTTAGTTAGCTGAACCTATCATTTCTTAAATTAATTTTTGGTGAGTAAGCACCTAGAACCCATTTGAACGGGAATTGATTTTTGGAGCCCAACTTCTAAAATTTCATAAATCCACTACACTAACACAAATGTTCTACTTCATAGGCCACAAAAAATGTAATGGAATAATAACTTATTTACCTGTATTTGAATGTAATATAACAAACACTGAAATTAAAAATAATTCCAATTAGCGAAATCAACGAAAATTCAATTGCTGGCATTACAAATGCCAACTTAACTCCGGCATCTTTGTTTGACAAATAATCAGGCTAAATAATTTATTTAAATTTTCCTAATAAGTAAAATTTGCTTACGTCCAAAGATGGTCCGCAAACCATTCTTAAGTTGTTGATTTTATTTAAAACCTAAGGACAAAAATTTTAATGAAAAATCAAAATCTCTTCTAGCAAAATTAAATATTTTGCCAAAAAATAATTTTGTTAGAAAAATTCTCAAAAAATGTCAAATATGCATAAATTTTATAAAAATATGCAGAATATGGCAAAACATAAAGAATTAAGGAAATAACAAAAATCAAGGACGTTTTTTCCTAGACCAAAATTAAATAATTTTAGTCCTCTATAAGGTATACGTACCATAATTTTTTGAAGAAATTATAAGAATATTAAATAACTAAGAGTTAGAAATATGGAAGGTAAACTTCTGAGTGCTCATTAAGTTATATCAAACGTAACAATTTTTAACATTTTTTTAAAATTTTAAAGAGTATAATTAAATATTTTTTTCGTAAACAACAGGTGTAATTTAAATTTAAAAGTAAGCTAGAAATTATTTAAAATTAATAAACAAAATTGAAATAAATAATTATAAATTACGAAACATTTTAGAGTAAAATACCAATTAACCATTTACGGTTACAGTTACGTTAACCATCTGTTTTGCGAAATTAAACGGTCACGGTTAATAAAATAACCCGTAAAGATAGCATATTTAGGTTAACCTTTACCAGGGGGAGGTTAATAACTGTCGCGAAATGCGACTTTTGTATTTTATTTTTTGACCCTTTTGTCTCTTAATTTTTTTTTTAATATTTTTATTTTTAAATTTATTTTAGACATGCTTATTCATAAATACGCCCACTTCTTTCAAATTCATATGTACTTTTTTTTGTAAAATTTCTATTTTGTATAATGATCCTCCCATTTTTCCCTCTATATAAACTTAGGAATTTAGGGAAGGAATCAGAGTTTATTTTTTAAATTCTCGGAGTAAAGAGTTTGTAAGATTCTCTCAAGAGCTTTTCTAATTGTAATAGAATTTGTTTGAATAAAAGTTGTGTAACTGTTAGATTTTTGTTTAATTTTAAATACACTCTGTTAATAAAGTATAAGCACCCCCTAAAATTTTTGTGAAAATACATGATCCATAAGCATTATTTGTTTTATTTTTTTCCTACATTAGCAGGGATCCAAAACATCAATAAAAATAAAGTTTAAAAAAATTTTATCAATGTAAAAATTTTAAAATTGAAATTTCTTGAAATTAACGTGTTAAGAAAGTATAAGCACCTCTGTAAAAATTTAATTTCTACTGATTGTAAAATTCTAAAAAAATTAACAGAGTGTATAGTTGAACTTAGAACTTCAAGAGTTTGATTTGGGTTTTCTAAGTTTAATGTTCTTTGACTAAGAGTTTTTCGTGCATCTATTTGAGTTAAATTTGAGTTTTCTAGATATTTCTAGAATTTAATTTATAACGTTTAGATGTAGTAAAAAGATTTAAATAAAGTATATTATTTGTGAAACTTTAAATACAATTTGAGTTAAGATATCTTCTCCTAAAAGAGTTCTTTATTTTTATAAAGTTTCTTGTTTGTGAAACTAATTTGTTTACTTGAAAATAACTCTCTTTATCTAGCAAAATATAATAATATTGTATTTTTACTTTGCGACAATAACCGGCTTTGGCTAACTCTAATAATTATCCTTGTTGGCCTTTTTTGTTTAGACCTTTTGGTATTTTGCCCTTACTATATAAATTTACTTTATCATTCAATTACCTTCAATCAAGCGAATAAAACTCTCGAATCTAATAAATTTTATAAAAAGAACTTGATCTATTTTGAGCTTTTTATTTACAAAATCTTGGACAAACATTACTAATTGAATTAGAAAAATTTAATTTTAAATATAAAAATTTAAAAGCTACATAAATTTAATTATAATAAATTTTTTAATTTGCTTTATTTAGACTAATATACTAAACAATATTTAAAAAAATTTTTTTCAAATTTAATTCATTGAATTATTTTTCTTTTAATTTAATTCTTTTGGATATTTTCTTAGTTACTTTATTCCAAAAATTGCTTCAAAAGCCTTCTCAGCCAAAAAACACTCCACCAGAAGTCATAGTTGAAACCGAATTCCCTTCAATTGTAATTACAGTTTCACCGCTAGAGTAACCTCCAGAATTTTTAGTAATGTAAACTGCGCTTTTATCGTTTTTAATCTCTTCCTTACCAAAAGTGTTTCCTGCCCCATTCATGTAAGCCTTAGAAACTCCGCCATTCAATTTAATATAATTATTACCCTTTACATCAGCAATATGCATCTAAATTTTAAGATTGAGACTTAAGTAAAGTATAAATATATGGGGATGTAGGAAAGTGTACGGAAATTTCGACTCAGAAATCCAAGATTTTTGAAAAGTTGGGCTCCAACTTTTCTGCATTTTTGAGCTCGAGCGGAGTTGTGGAATTAGAGTTAGAGAATTAAATTCATTAGAGAATTAAATTTAGTATAAATGGCGCAGCCCTTTAGTGTTCGTGTGTTAGTTTGTTGTTAGTCAAGTGTTAGTGATATTCCGTAGTAAGGTTGGCGGATCCGGATATCCGGATCCGAAAAAAGGCCGGATATCCGGAAATTTTCGGTTCGGATACCGGATCCGGATCCGGATATCCGAAATTTTCGGTTCGGATATCGGATCCGGATCCGGATATCCGAAATTTTCGGTTCGGATATCGGATCCGGATCCGGATATCCGAAAATTTCGGTTCGGATCCTAGAATTAGGGAAAAAGGAAGAAATCTTGCCCAATGGCCTTCCAAATTTCTCAAAATTTTCGCCTGCGGCGCTGAAAATGGAAGAAATTTAACTTCAGTTGCTTCCAAAATTACAAAAAAATTTCGCCTGCGGCGCTAAAAAGTGAATTTTTTGGCCTACTACCTTCCAAAATTACCAAAATTTTCGCCTGCGGCGCTTAAAAAGGAAGAAAAGGGGTTTTTTTTTGTACTACTTTTTTTTCTACTACTTCCCCCAAATCCACTAAATTCTCACAAATCATCAGATAAACTACAAAATTGTCCACACATTGATTACACCTAGATAACTGTTAAGCATAAATTCCCTCGATAACACTGTTAATCCCCAAATTCAATCATAATTGCTCCTAATCCTTTTATATCCTCCTTAAGACTCAACTTTTCAGCGCCGCAGGCGAAAATTTTTAAAATAAAAATTTCGGTACCGGATCCGGATATCCGAAAATTTCGGTTCGGATATCGGTTCCGGATCCGGATATCCGAAATTTTCGGTTCGGATACCGGATCCGGATCCGGATATCCGAAATTTTCGGTTCGGATACCGGATCCGGATCCGGATATCCGAAATTTTCGGATCGGATACCGGATCCGGATCCGGATATCCGAAGATTTCCAACTATCCGCCAACCTTATTCCGTAGACGGAGTCATTGTCTTCCGCAGTTTCATACTCTTAGCTCATAGTCTCGCTTATTCTAACCTGATTGTCAATCAAGTCTTCTGTCCAACCCCTGGACGACACCAACCCCTGGAATAAAATTTTGGTTTTTTTGTTATTTGGAAACTCAGCAAGGAAGGCCCAACAAAAGTTAAATTCTCTGAAACAGAAAAGCAATGTTAAGATGTCTGACTGTAAAGAAATATTATAACATTACCCAACATTATTAGTTATTTAGAATGGAACAATTTGAAAGCAAAAATAGCCTTTTGATTACCTCGAGAGTTGTGATACCACCATTTATTGAAAGAGCATCTCCTGCTGGTCCTTGTGGCTTTACTTGATTAAATACATATTTATCTCTAGACGTAGTAATATTTCCGACCCCTCCATGAGCACGAAATTCAAAAGCCTTTCCTTTCATCATTTTAAATCCCTTCACATTAGTATTTGCTGTAATGTTACGTCCTGTAATTTTTATTTTTTCTCCATTTTTCTCAATTCTAACTCCGTCTACAGTTGTCACCCTCTCGTTATAATTTACAATGTCTCCATTAATGAATATATCAATCTTCGACCAATATTCAGTAAATTTAATGTTATTTCCATTAATTATTGCATTCCCTACCCCACCATTGATGTTTAAATTTTTAACAAATTCAGAATAATGTTGAGAGTTTTCGACAAGAATTCCTTCATCGAATACTGATACTTTTACAGAACCTAATCCTCCATTCCAACCTTTATATATAAATATTAATTAGTATAAAAAAAGTTGTGAATTAAGTAAAATATTGTAATCAAAAAGACTGATCCATCTTACACCCAGGTAGCTCTGTCTGAAAGCAGTAAATGGTGAGGAGCAATGCCTGTTAGTGGCCGAAAGATTTATCTCTCCCTTACATTATTTAACAAACATATCGAGCTATGTTTGTCTGCGTATTTTTAATAAATTGATTTAAAAGAAGCAAAAAATTGAGGAATTTAAATGTTTCTGATATGAATTTTAAAACTTGATAAATATATTTTTGTTTATTATATTTCAATAATCTATAAAGTTTTAAAATTTATTATGAGTTTTGCTCACTTTGGCTATGCTGAGCAGATTGAAATCCTGAGCTAGATCGGGATCCTGAGCCAGATTGACCATATCCATCGCCAGAGAATGCCCCTGTGTTATATGTTCTTCCCCTTGATTGATGCGATCCTCCACCAAAAGAGGAGGCTCTTTGATACCCAGCATTTCCTCCTCCCTGGTTTCCGTAAGTATTTCCTTCTCCAATCATTTGAACATTAGAAATTCCGCCACTTATTTTGATATTATTGTTACCATTTTCATTGGCAATATGGACCTAAATTTTAAGATGATCTTAACTCTATAACGACTTTAAGATAGACAATAAACAATTTAAATTCTAAATTAATTCTTTCGATAACCTCGAGATTTTGGATGCCACCACTTATGCTAAAACTGTCCTTTATTGTGTGATTTGGTTTTATTTCTTCAAATACATATTTACTTGTAGTTGTAGAAACTTTGTCGATACCTCCAGTAACACTAACTTTAACTGGTTCTTCAAAAAAATTGGAACCTTTGTTTTTTGCTTTTATGTTATTTCCATAAATTATTGCTTTCCCTACTCCACCACTGATTTTTAAATTTTTAACAAACTCAGAATACTGTTCAGGGCTTTCAACAAGAATTCCTTCTTTGAATACTGATAATTTCACGAAATCAACTCCTCCACTCCAACCTTTATATTTAAGTATTAATTAGAAATTTGGATATGTTTGATATCAATTCTTTGATAATAATTTAGATTAATAAAAAGATTTAAGGGTATAAAGATTTTTAAGCATGAATTTTGAATGTATCTTATATAAATAAACAGTAGATACATGGACACTGTTTTGAGAATAACGAGGCGCGAATGTACTTTTATATGTACTTTATAAAACTGTAAAAGTTATTATAAGTTTTGCTTACTTCTGATGTTCCCTCCACGTGGGAACCCTTTTCCAATTGAGGATCTTGATCCGCCAAATGGGGATCCCATGTTAATCTGATCTCCTGAAACAAATTCACCAGTTCCTGTGCCAAAGAATGATCCTCTGTTATGAATTGTTCCCCCTCTAAAATGATGCGTTCCTCCGCCAAAATACTGCGATGTACGTTGTCCCTCTTCTTGGTTTATATTTCCAGCATTTGAACTTTCCCCTTCCTTAGATTTTCCTTTATTTTTAGCAAGTTCTCTATCATATTTTTCCCTTTTTGTTTTATCACTAAGAATCGAATGTGCTTCCGACAATTTTTCTAAATTATCAAAAAAGTCTTTATCGCTCTGTTTGGTTTTTCGATTTTTCTCTTTCCTTTCATTAAATGCTTCTTCAATCTCATCAGGAGAAGCATTTTTATCAACCATTAATGTTTTGTAGTGAGTTGATTCAATTTCGAAAATAAAATTGAACAAAGAGAGAAAGAGGAGCAAATAGATGGATGCCATACTTTAACTCTTTATTTGAAAAATTTAAATAAGAAGTCTATAAATACAAGAATTAAAGAGATTGGATCACTGAACTGAACTGCCTAGGTATTAAAGCTACATAGGTTTCCTACTCTTGACTGTTAAAGGCGAAACTTCTTGAAATTTTGTTTGGTTTTATTGCTAGGAATACATATATAAGACAGGTTTTTTAAATCCGGAAAAAATAATTCCCAATGTCCGGCTGAATTTACCCGGATTCCGGACAGGAGGTGGCCCAACTTAATCTAACGAAGAATAGAGGTCCATCCGGACTAAGAAGGTGTTTAAGATTTATTAAAGGGAATACAAACTGATTATTTGGTAAATTATTATTCTATTAAATAGGCACTAATTAATTTCTTAATTACATATTACATATGTATTTGCCCTTTTATTTCCCGCTAGTTTTTTTTATCTTATTATTTCTTAATCACTATATGCCCTTTATGTTATTCCTTTAGTCGTTAATCAGACTATTTGCCCTTTATGCTTTTCCTTTAGCGGTTAATTTCATAACTATTTGCCTTTTATGTTTGCCCTTTAGTCGTTAATTTCATTACTATTTGTCTTTTATGTTCTTCCTTTAATTTGTCTCACCATTGCATCATCCTTTAACCAAAAAATATTTTTTGATTTTAAAATTAAATTTTTTTAATTTTGTTTGTGAACTTTTATAATTTTTAAAAATTTTCATTAGAAAATTTTCCAACACCAAACCCATCAATAGGTTGTCTGAAACCCTTTGAACATCAATCAAAAAATTGTGGCATTTCCAATTGTCCCTCCAAATCGACATATACTCTTCTTGTTGACACTCAAAAACCTTCTCAAGTCACTATGTTGTGTTTAATTGTATCTATATAGTTGTTAAGAAATTGAAATGTTGAGAAATTTCCACCTAGTTTTTTGGTATCTAGGTCCTGATTCTCTAATTAATTTGAAATTTTTACTAGATATTTATAATCACTAAACTTTTCACTCAATCGTTTTTTATAGAGTTTTTCTCAAAATCGGGTGTTAAGAAAATAAAACCACTTGAAAAAATTTTTGATTTTCATATTAGAAATGTTTGAGAAATTTTGCAAAAATTTAAATAATTCTAACTGATTTATGGTATTGTTAATATCTAATGAATTACAAATTTATTTAATGAGTTACATATTACATACTAAACTATAAAAATAGGAGATGATATGACACACTCCAAATTATAATCAGCCTAGGTTTAACTTGTCAGGCCGAATTACATTCGAACTGAAAGCCTTTCCAACTTTAATTATAACGTCTAATTCTTGTTGTTTAACTCTTTTAGTTGCTAAATTCGCCGGCAAAACCTTTATTGTTGTTTGAACATTTTGTACCATTTTTGGTGTTTGTGTCATTGATCTAATAAGTATTTTATGGATCTTTTCCGGAAGAATTGTTTGAAGAAATTTAAATCTAAATGATTCACTGGCCCAAAGTAATGGCCAACTTGGTAATACAACCATTCCGAGATCCATTACAATTACGAAAATGTTGCCAAGAAATGACTTTGTAATCACGTTCCAAAGTTTAGAGGAATACATACAAATCTAAATCAAAATATACAGGAATTTAACGTTAAAAATAAAATTATCTGTGATAGAACAATCTCTGAATCGAAAAAGGCAACCCTAATTAATAGGGCTAGGATTTTTAGGAACTAAAAAGTTAAAAATAGGTGCCTATATGTATAGGCACTAAAAGACTGCCAAAATAGGCACTAAAATCCGAAAAAAGGCAAAATATGCAAAAGTATTATCTAGGAAAAACAGGCATTTTGCGTAAAATCCTAGCCCTACTAATTAATATACTAAACATGACAGCAGACATACTTAATGATAAAAGTAGATTGGCTGCTAATAAGACAACAATTATGCTATCTAGTAGTCGCCAATATGTACTAAATGTTCTGTTGGGATTAAACTAGGGTTGCGCAAGGTCGAAGCCTCGCCGAGGCCGAGGTCGTCGCCAATTTTTCAATCTCGGTCTCGGTTCGGCTCGGAGCCTCGATCTCGCCAGGAACCTCGCCGAGGAACGAGGCTAAATATACACCTCTAGGAATGGACTTTTTTGGATGAAATGGAAGAATTTTTGCTTAATGTCCTTCCAAGAATCTCAAAATTTTCGCCCGAGGCACAAAAAAGGATGAAATCTGGCTTATTGGCCTATTAAAATTTTTATAATTTTCGTCTGCGTCTCTAAAAAAGGAATAACTGGTCTTCCAATACTCTCAAAAATTTCGCCTATTACGAAAACTTACAAAATTTTACTCTCAAAAATTCTATTCCAAATATATGAAACATTTGATCAAGGCTTTGAACCTCGAACCTCGCCTCAAATTTGACCCCTGACCTTTTTCAGTTTCACTGATCCTCGGTCTCGGTTTTTTCGAAAACTTCGACCTTGCGCAACACTAGTTTAAACTGAGACCTTTAGATTTGAACGAATCTGTTAAAAAATCGAAACTGACCCATAATAATCAACAAATAAAATTAAATTTACCATAATAATTGACATTAACATTTGCCCAAATGAAGATATTAAAGCAAAAATCCACAATCTTCATTCTATGTTGTCCTCAGAATTTTTAGTTCCAGCAATGTTAACCGGTTCAATTATATTTTTTACCTTTACTTTGAAGGTAAAAATAGTCATTAGATTAATTATAATGAAAGCAAAAAGAAAAAAAATTGCCAAGATTGCACTTAATTGAATATAGAAATCTAGCCTTCCTTCCTTTAAATAAAAAATATTTTAAGCATGTTTATCAGTAAACTAACATTTCCAAATTCAATAATATTAATTGAAACAATACTTTCTTTCTTTTCATCCATTTCTGCAAAATAAGTGCAACTTATTGTGAGAATCCCAATACAATACAGGGGTAATGTAAAGCAAAGGAAACAAGCTATCAGATGGATCTTTTGCCATAACTTAAAATTTCAAATTAATTCAGAAATTACGCTGGTTATCTTCGGTTTACGCAAACAATTTTTATTTTTATTTTCCCTCTTTCAATGAGGATAGATAAATCAGACTAGGACACGGATTTTGGTATCCGTATCCGGATATTTACGGCGGATACAGACGGATACAGGCAGATATCCGCAGGTATTTTGGTAATATCTGTATCCATATCCGTATCCATGACCATGCTGAGATAAATTTATATAAAATGTGATAAATATTAATGTTTGTACATATTGCTGTATTTTTTTGTTAACAATGTTCCTATTCCCCAATGCTTGATTGTATATTGTTTTTTGTTTAGCTGGTGAAAGCTTAAGTGTAAAGCTTCGGCTTTGATTGAAAGCCGAACCTTTTTTCAAGGGTGAAGGTGTCCAATAGTTAGTTTATTCCATTGATTATTCTCTTATACCTACATACCTTTATTTACCTTTTTTCTCGACGTGCGAAAAGCTTTTTATATGAACTTTGGCAACGTCCTATGTAACAATGAAGCGAAATCCTCTTTTTAAGCTTCAAAACTTTGTTTAGAATCAATAAATATAAACGATCTGGTGAATCACATCATATATTTGCCTTATTTTTTAAATGTTTTCGCTCGATTTAGCTTACCAATTCATATTCAAATGCCCATCCAATAGCTATAAATCTATTTAGCATTATAAAAAATGATGACAGATTATCGCCCATAATTGCATAGTTTGCTAGGAAATGAAATACTGCCAATGTCCATTCTGGATAAGGATTAGCTATAAACCAATATGGAAATAAATTTGGAATTCTGTATCCATAATAAGAGTCGATAATGTAAACAACACCCTTAAAATAGTTAAATTAAATGAAAATTATTAGTCCAAGACCGCAAATGTTACAAGCTATAGACCAAAAAATTAAAGACTAAAAACAAGACAGAAAAAGTCAAGAAAAGTCTAGGTTTCAAGGCAGTTGTGTAGAGGTTTACTGTATTATATAGCCAGTATCAGCATAATTTTATTGGATTATGGAACTTATATGGTTTAAGTAGTTCTGTGTTATGGGCAGTGCATTTCCTAGCTGCGGCTCAGCCCCGGCTCCGACCTTTTTCTTCCACTTTTTCTACATTGTAATTCTACTACTTTTGCAAAAACACATAAAAAGGACTGAAAGTCTCGGACAACTCAATAATTTATTTTTAAAATTTACATAAAAAGCTCGAATACAGAACAAAGCGTAGAAAGAATTATGAAGAGATTTGTTCATAATAATTGTCGAAACTTGTAAAATGTAGACAATAACGGAAGGTAGACTTATGGAGATTGATAAATAAATAAAAAAATCCATTGAAGAAAAATAAAATGAAACAATTATTAAATGTTAGTTCATTCGAAATATTAGAAAAATGTTTTCACAAACAATTAAGTCACGAAATATATAAATTTCCATGCCATTAAAAGTTCAAATTTTAATATCGAACTAATACAAAGTTTAAGAAACTTAAACTTTAAAAATACAAAGTTTAAGTCAGTTAAGAAATGAAAAAAGGTGAAAGCAATGTAAGTAATTCAAAACTATGTAATTAGTGAAGAAAAGCTAAAACTAAATATGTTGATTGTCAGATAAAGTTTAAAGATAATAAAAGTTTATGTGGGAAAATATGGTGGAATGTGAAATGGTGATTAATTTTAATATATTTAATTTATTTTTAAACTAGTTTTTAGAAACTCAACAAAACTTGTAGCATATGGAGGAGGATTTGAAGCTTATCAATTCATTAAAACGTATGCTTAAAAAGATGGAAGATTGTAATCTGATAGTATTGAAAAAGACTTGAGAATTACTAGGGAAATATTAAAGAAAATAAAAACTAAAAAAGTAATAAACAAGAAGGCATATTAAATAAATTGGCTTCATATAGAATAAATAGACAATAAACCAAAACAAAAATTAGCTTGGTGCGCGCTATAATTGTTAGATTTTCAGAGGAGTGTATTCGGTTCATAGTTGAGTAACGAGCTTAATTGGTGTCGCGGTTCGTGATCCGTTCCGGGTTCCAACTCTAATGATAACTCTACATTCAGGGTCGGCACCTAAATCCTATTAAATTATGACAGGAAAAACTTTACCTATGTATTTGCAGAAAAAATAATTAAAAAATATTATTTAAAATTAAGAAATATTATTTTAGAATTACATATGTATATACTATTTTTAATAGCGCTTTGTCCAAAAAATTGTTTCTTCAACGCTTAAATGAGAGAAAGATACGAAATTTCGTCCCCAATAATCACCATGGGAAATTTTGAAAGAGCCGTGCTTATTTTCCTATTTAAAATTATTTATAAGGGTCGAAATTTCGGCCCGCGCTGCTAAGCATCTTATATTGTAATAGTCGAGGGACTTTTAAAGAGTGCGTGTTTTAGTGAGTGTTTTTAATTAGAGAGTATTTTATGAAATAAAATATAGAGAAAAATAAATATTTATCATGTGTTTATTTGTATTCAATGTTTAAAGGGCAAATCATTTAAAGGCATTTTTATTTAGCTAACATCGCCTCTCAATTAAATGCTTGCCTATAAAATTAATTAAATAAGCGAGGCATTCATTTTAAAATTCTTTTAATTTAATTAACTTTTATAAATCCCATTCAATTAATAATTATCATTGTTAATATTTTTAAATCACACTCTTGAGATGAATAGAGAAAAGGCATTAAAAGTTTCGAAATATGAACTTATGTTAATGCATAAGATCTCAGGCCTCCTTAAGTAACTTTTAAAGCCACCTAAGTAAATTCCTGCCTAATCTAAGTTTGTTATTTCAAGATTTACGCAATGCTGCGTTTATCTAAATATTTTATATCAATTTTTTGTTGTGATAATTGATACAACAAGAGCATTACCCAAAACCGAGGAATATAAAAAATTTGTTGAAAAAGGAACGGGGAAAATATTAGTATTGTATAAAAAATATTTTGGAGAAGCATGGGACACTTTCATGGGACGCATATACGGGACGCATATACATTTATGGGGCGTATGTCCTAAGATAGAGCTGAAATTGTCAATAAACGCAAACCAAAAATCAGCTTGATCCACACGGTTTTTAGATTTTCAGGTATTTGGTTCATAGTTGAGTCCAAGCTAAATTGGTGTCGCGGTTCCTGATCCGTTTCAGGTTTTAACTCAATGATAACTCTAAATATCAGGATTGGTACCTGAATCCTATTAAATTATGACGGGAAAAACTTTACCCATGTATTTGAGAAAATAGAATTAAGAAATATTTTTTAAAATTAAAAAATTTTATTTAAGACCCGCGCTGCTCCCCATTTTACATTGTAAGGGTCGAGAGACTTTTAAAGAGTGCGTGTTTTAGTGAGTGTTTTTATTTAGAGAGAATTTTATTAAATAAAATATAGAGAAAAATAAATATTTATCATGTGTTTATTTGTATTCAATGTTTAAAGGGCAAATCATTTAAAGGCATTTTTACTTAGCTAATGTCCTTTCTCAACTAAATGCATTCTAAAAATTAAATAAAATAAGCGAGGCATTCATTTTAAAATTCTTTTAATTTAAATACTTTTATAAATTACTTTAATTAATAATTAACATTGTTAATACTTTTAAATCTCACACTTGAGATGTAATAGAGAAAAGTATAAAGTTTCAAAATATAAACTTATGTTAATGCATATGCATTCATCTCATATGCATTCATATAAATATCTAAATTTTTTATTTCAAGATTTACGCGATGCTGCGTTTATCTAAATATTTTATATTAATTTATTTTGTTGTGTTGATTGAAACAACAAGAGATTTCCTCAAAACCGAGGAATATAAAAAATTTGTTAAAAAAGAAGCGGAGGAAATATTAGAAATTTATAAAAAATATTTTGGAGAAGGAATAGATGAGCAAAGTTTGCAAAAACTGTCAATTAAATCAGTAAAAATTTATTATGAAGATTTTCTTAAAAAGTTTGCTGGAAAAACTACAGAATCTGAAGAGAATGAAGAGGAAATTTTTATTAAATTAATGACTCGTAAAATAAAAGATGAATCAGAGAAAGTTAATAATGAAAATTTTGAATGGAATGACGAATTTGGCGAAGAATTTAAAAAATTCCATAAAGAATCCGTGAAATTATTGGAAGAGCTTTTTAAAAATGAAAATTGGTCGTTGGAAAAGAAATTTTGTGAAATTTATAGTTTAGTAGACAAATGGATTAAAAACAAAAAACTTTTAAAAAACAAATATTGGATTGATTATGTAGCAGATAATATATTTTATGTATGTATTCCAAATTAAATTCTTGACAGAATTCAAGTTGGTCAGCCAAATTCAATTCGGCCGGCCGAATTGAACATCTGTATAGACGCGAATTTTCCTTTAAACTGTTCCTCCACCATAACATAAAAATTAAAAATATTATCAAAAATTGTTAGATTTTAGAAATTTGAAAATGCGACTCCGCTAAAATAAGATATGAATCAATCACACAACAACAAAACCCCTAAAGAATCACTGGGTTTTGCACAATCGTCTCGATGACGCTATAGATTCCGTCTTCTCAAACACGATTTTTCTAAAATATAATAAGTTTTGCCCATGCTTTTATTTTCTATTTGTCGAAGCTCAAATTTCGCGGCACAAAAATCGTAAGTAAAAGACTTTGAAACAAATATCTAAGTCGCAAAAGTCTCAGCGCTAATGCTAGACAATCAAATTTAAAAGAACTTTTCGAAATATAATTCGGGTAATTCGCAATCCAAATAAAATTTTGATCATTTTTCAGCAGAATATTTTTAAAAATCAAATTTTGTGTGAAAATGATGACCAAATTAATGGGATAGTCGAAAAATGTTTTGAAAATGAGGCATTTAAAGATATGGTTAAATCAATTCATACACAATTTATTTACAATTATACAAATGATTTGCAAATATTTGTTTATGGAGAAAGAAAACATAAATTATTAAATTTGTTAGGAGATAAAAATTGTGAAATCTTGAGAGATAATCTTCATGAAGAAGAAAATGAGGAAATATTAAAAATGTATAAAAATTATTTTGAAGAAAATCAAGAAGGAATGGATGATGAAAGTTTGCAAAAACTGTCGATTAAATCAGTTAATATTAAATCGGTTTCACATTATTATAAAATTTTTCTTACAAATGTTGCCGGAAAACATGGAGGAATTGATGATAATGAAAAGGAGATTTTTATTAATTTTATTAAATTCAGGATTCATGTTAATGATGAAAAAGAAGATGATTCGGAGAAAATTAATGATGAAAATTTTGAATGGAATGACGAATTTGGCGTTGAATTTAAAAAGTTCCATAAAGAAGCCGTGAAATTATTGGGAGAGCTTTTTAAAAATAAAAACTGGGCAATAGAAAAGAAATTTTGTAAAATTTATAGTTTAGCTGATAAATGGATTAAAAACGAAAAACTTCTAAAAAACAAATATTGGAATGATTACATAATCACGTTAAATCATGTATGTAAAAAAAGTTTTTTTAATTTATTGAGTAGACCACAGGTTACAATAAAATAAAACTACATTTAAAAAATACCGTATTTCCTCTAATTTATGAAAATTCAGAAAATTTTGGTAAAAATATGCAAAAATATTGAAATAATTTGAAAAATGTGCCAAACATTGAAAAAACGGGGGCATATTTGGGCTTCTCTCTCCATAATATATTCAGGAAAAAATATATTTCAATACAAATCAGAGCCCTAATCAGAGCCCCCAATCAGAGCCTATGCTTAATGAATTGTTAAAATTTCAGCTTTCTTTAATTTTTAAATTTTCAGCAGAATCTTTTTGAGGATCAAATTTTGTGTGAAAATGATGACCAAATTAATCAAATGATGGAAAAAAGTTTTGCGAATGAATCATTAATTAATTCAGCGCATTTACATTTTATAAACGGTTTTTATGAAGATTTACGAATATATGTACTCGGAACAAAAGGAACAAAAGACAAAGTATTAAATTTGATAGGAAATGAAGAATACGAAAACTTTAAAGCTAACTTCTTAGAATTAGCTAACGAACGTTTTCAAAAACGTAAGAAAGTATTATCCAGTTTAAATTTTGTTATTTATTGCGAGTTATTCAGTTCTACTTCTTTAATTAGTGTGATATAAGTAAATTTCCTTTTCCCATCAGCTCCAATTCTTTTTTTGGTTTACAACTCTGGTCTTAATTTTATTTAAGTCCTCTACATGCACCTAAATTATTTCTGCATTGAGATCTTAAATGAATAATACATACAACCATTATAAAAGCGCTGCGCATTTATAGTGTCACCTAAAATTATTGGCTGAACGGGGCATTATAATCTTCCTTTTTTCGATAAGGAAGTTGAAAAGGATCAAATTTTATGATTTTAATATTAAAAACATGTTAAATGTTTATAATTTAAGTTCTGTTGAATCAAAAAGAACGAGTGGACAATTATCTAAAGATGTTAAAGATTGATCAAAAAGAGGAAAAAATGCATGAGATTGATGGTACCAAATATATAACTAAAGAAGAAGTGTTTATAACTATGGAACTGCTTTGGAGAAGGATGGATAATGTTGAGAAAAATTTAAATTCGAAAAATTTGGATGATTTGTTTGTCAGAGTTAAATATGTTGTGTCAAATATCTTGTATGTCAAAGATCTTACTTTTTGTGTTCAACTTTTGTTTAATATTGTAAAACTTTTGAAAAAAAAGGAAGCTGTTTATAAAAATTACGTTAACGAGGGGAAAACTGAAGAGATAATAAAGGAAGTTGATGCTAAAATTGAAAATGTTAAACATTTTTCTAATTCACTACCAATTTTTGAAATGAGAAAATTTTTGGCTAAAGAACACATGGAGTACGTCACAGAAATATTAAATGATAAAGAGATAAGAAAAGTATTACAAAAGAATGATGGCTCAATATATTGTTTACATATGATATTGGGGGGTCATCCTAGTATAAACAAAATAATGCAGGAAAATGGATTACTCGAAGTTGACGGTACTTTTAAACTTATAAAATAATTAACTACAATTTGGGGTGGGCGAGTAATATAGATAGCGGAAATTTTAAGGATTAAAAATATATTTTTAGGTGCTTTTGTGTAATAAATGTGATATGAGTATATGGATATAGTGGATTTGAATTAAGAGTTATAACCCCAAAACAATAGATTTTGAAGTATACAAAGTGCTATTTTAAAATTTTAAATTTAAAGAGTAGCGATCATTAACCGTGATATTAGAAGGGAAAGTAGTATATTCTCGTACCGTATATTCTCGAATAATTACCCTGGGTAATTATTCGAAAGGAGGTGCTAGATTTGGGGTATATCTCAATAAATCAAGGAGGGAATCGATTTATTTTTTGATAATGTTTAATAAACTGTTTCCAATAATTAAAATTGACAATGATTTTTTCAATTTATTTAAGATTTTTGTAAAAAATGTGGGGGTAATTATTAAGAGGGTAATTATTTGAGAGAGGGTAATTATTCGAGCATATACGGTATGTGTTAGGGAGAATAGTACAAACTTTGATATTATCAAAAGTCTATGAATTTAAAAAATAGTAAAACAATTTTAATTTTAAATTTAGTTCTTCGAAAAGATGAAACGTTAACAAAACACTACAAATTATATTTCGAAGCATTGAAAAATTCAATTAATCAACAAGCAAACAAGATTATTGTTGATTATCTCCTTTGGTTCAGATGGGTAGATAATTCAGTTAAAGAAAAAAATAAATGGCAAATAACAAACAATTGCATAAGCATGCGGGAAGTCATCAAGGATAGTAACCTTTTTTTAAAAATTAGTTATGGAATGATTTTATGGAGCGATGAAGAGACTATTGAGAAAATACAGAAAGAATTCTTTTACAGAATGTATTTTTTGAAGGAATACATTGGCGTACAGCAAAAAGATAAACTTAGAGTTAGTAAAATTATGAATATAAAGACTAAAGCTCTGTTTTATAGACTAAGGTTGTCAGATAGTTGGAAATCTTCGGATATCCGGATCCGATATCCAAACCGAAAAGTTGGATATTCGGATCCGGATGATTTTTATGGGGATCCGGTATCCGAAAGAAAATTTCGGATATCCGGAACATGCTGACGCAATCGATAAATATTTTCCGCAGCCGTAATGCGATGTCCGCAATTTTAATTTTAAAATCCGCAGCCGCAGTCCCTATATCCCCTCTAATCCCATCATTTTTGATCCCTCGATATGACGTCCAAATACATCAACATTTCCTTAAAGTTTAAACAAGCGCCGCATGTGAGTTATTACCATTGCTGGGTATTTGCCATTTGTTGGCTCCGGCTCCGGGCTCCGGGGTTTCAAAATCTTGGCTCCGGCTCCAGCTCCGGCTCCGGAGCCGGCGATTTTCGGAGCCGCTCCATGTTGGCTCCGGGCTCCGGCTGGAAAATCAATTAATTATTTTTCATTGGGGGATTTGGGTAGATAAAGGGGGATATCGAGTGATATCAGAGGATTAAGAGGAGTATCAATGGATTAAGTGGGATTTGGGTGGATTATCGTGTGCATTAAGGGCGATATCGGGGAATTAAGCTGGATTAAAGGGATTTGGGTTGTCTGGGAGTTGGGCGAATAGGAGATGTTGGATTTATCCTCTCATTATCTCTTGCTTTTTGCGCCGCATACGTAAATTTTGAGAATTTTGGTTGTAAAGTTGCCAAATTTCTTCAATTTTTTGCCAAAAATTAATCAAAATTCCCAAAATTTTGGTAAAAATACTCGAAAATATTTAAATAATTAAAAAAAGTTACAAATATTGAAATAACTGGAAATTAGCAAAATATTGAAATATATTGAAATGTAACTTCGTTCAAAATTATAATATCGAAAACTAATGGCATATTTGGGCTTCTCTCTCTCATACAGGAAAAAAATATATTTCAATACAAATCCTAGCCCTAATTATAATTAATATTCTGATTTTATTAAGACAAATGAAGACCTCTATAAAAAATGGGTTGTAGTATGGCAAAAGATAATGAATATGGGAGTTGAAGCTATCAATAAAGAATTTGAAGATAATGAATATAAAAATAAATTCGATATAAAGGAATCGTACGAAGAAATTCAAAATAAATTTGATGTTTGGTTAAAAGAAGTAAATTATCTAACTTTAAATAAATTCCTAAATGATAAAAATAATGAATTGTATAAATTTTTGCAAGGTATTTTTAAATAACATTAATTTCATTAGTTTAATTAAAATTCAAAAGATGTTTATAGAAATTTTTATTATTTTAAATATGATTTCTATAAGTAGGGTTTGCTATGTGGAGGTCATTTCTTAAAAAATAATAAATAAAAAATTTTAAAACAAAATTTTTTCATGTTTGACGGAGTTATGAGGGTTATCTGTATTCCGCATGGATTTAATCGAGTAAAGATGCCCGTGAGCACCGTATAGTAAAAATTTGACAATTTATAGCTTTAGAATAAATACCTAATATTAAATATAAACTGCCTTGCTCATTTTTACCGTACGCCCGTTTATCAGACACGAAAAATTTACGAAATTAGAAGAAAATTTTGGTGTATCTTTCTAATAATTGAGTAAAATTCTAATAAGAGTTCTGCGTGTCAAATAAGTATATGACGAGTTAGAAGGATCCAAGTTGTATCATTGATGTTCTAAACCTATAAATCCTACCCCTAATGGTATGTGTTACGACCCCGGTTACGTAGAGGAAGCTAACAGAAACGTTTATTGCACAAAGAAATACAAAGCAGGCGAAGGTTGGGGTAGGAAGAAGAACTAAAACTGAGACCGAGAACTAACTATTGGCTGGGCTTTTATACTAAACACTTTAAGGGCTGACGCCCATACACAACACCTCCCCCTTTAAAAAAAGGTTCGGCTTCACTTAAAGCCGAAGCTTTACAATATACTAACACTTTCCAGCCAAACAACAAACAAAAAATACATACAATAATTTTGGGGGAATAAAGACAATGGGAACAAAAAATACATACAACATTACAAAAAAATACAACAATAATATTATCACAAAATTTTATATATGTGGCTCATCTACATCTCCATATTTTTATCGTCTTCAACATCTTTCATCTTTTGATTGTTCCCGCTTTTGTCCTTCATCTTTGACTTGATCTTCTTGGAGTTGTCCACACTGCTATCACTGGATGAAGTTACACTACTTTCACTAGACACTTTTTCTTCACTAATATTCATATTCCGAATATCTTCACTCAACAATTTCTTTTTATTGTTCCACTCATCTCGACGGATCTCTTTAAATGTCCTGGTCACAATACACTTCAACACTGCCACTTTGATTTTCCAGGCATTTTCCGTCTTTCTCACTATTTCTCCATGAAGCCACTCGATTTTACCACTTCTTTTATTGGTATTCTTCACTTTCACTTTTGTGCCGTTCGGAAAAGCATTTTTCTGTATCTTGAATGGTGCCTTCTTTTTATTCCACTTTTGGTACTTGGGCTTTTGGTTCCGACTTGACACTTCTTTCAATCCAGGCAACCCTAAGATACACACTTCACTATGCACTAGATGGAACTCCATAAAGACGTCTTTGTCTTTCACTCTCACTTTGCTTCTGAATTTTCCTTCAATTTCAACTTTGTTGTCACCCAGCCCAACACCACTGTAATTCACTTTTTCAATTGTTGGCTGTCCAATACTTTTCCACACTTCACTGGTGACAACATTGATCTGCGATGCAGTGTCTACAATCATTTCTACACTAAGTTCTCCAAACTTCACTTTTTGCTTTATCCACTCTTCTTTTTCCACACTTTGCATTGGATCGAAGATGTCCAGAATTGCACAATATGGAGAACCTGAATGATTATTATCATTACTCCACTGCCTTTTTGGCTGATACTGATTATTTTTCAAGAACTTACAATGCATACGCCAGTGACCAAAACGTCCACAATGACTACACTTTTTCTCAATAACATTTTGCTGATACTTGACGTTTGGTTTGGACCACTGTTTTTTGCACTCACTTCCAATTTCACTTTTACTCTTTTCACAACATTTCACTTTTTCCACTGTGTTGACTGTCGGCACTTCTTTTTTTACTTCACTATTTTTCTCCTTGACAATATACATGGCTTCACTTTTATTTGCCAAATATGCCCGACACTCTTCAATTATTTCTTTCAAGGTTACTGCCTGTCCTCTTTCACTTTTACTTTCAACACTTTTCATTGCGACTTGTCGAACTGAGGTAGCATCACTAGGCAAACCTGAAATAAAAATAAGAATTTTCAATTCTTCAATCGACAAGGCCATTTCTGCACGCTCACATTGAGCATTCACTACATTCCCAAACTCAACAATATCTTGGAGGTCACTACACTTAACATTTAAGGCCTCGAACCTTTTCAACAATTTGGACCTATGATCACTAAACTCTTTCACTAACTCACTACAGAGTTCGTCAAACTTCATTTCACTCAACTTGGTTGGCAGCATTTTCCTTTCAATTTGGGCATACTCTTCTGGCCCCAATTTACTCAACAACAATCTCACTTTAGAGGATTCTGGCAGGGTTTTACCCTCCACCTCAAAATAGGACCGATGCCTGCCCAACCATGACTCAAAGGTCATACCACTCGTCAAATCAAAAACGAACTCACCAATCATCCCAACTAATTTGCTGTACAATTCGGTGTCGTTCCACTCACTCGGCTTCAAGAGCCTCACTAACATTTTCTCAAAGTGCTCTTGCTGAGCCTTCAACAATTTCTTCACTGTTTTTGCATCCATTTTGCACTCACTAAAAAATAAACTTTTTATCACTACACTTTACACTACAATTTCACTAACCTTTTTGGTTTTACTACACTACAATTGTCCACACAGATTTTTCTTTTTCTGAACTGCACACAGCTTACGTTGACGAGCACTCACTGAAGTTGACGAGACTGTTGTCGAGACCAGGTTCTTTTTGAACACGACCGCGACAAATCTGTTACGACCCCGGTTACGTAGAGGAAGCTAACAGAAACGTTTATTGCACAAAGAAATACAAAGCAGGCGAAGGTTGGGGTAGGAAGAAGAACTAAAACTGAGACCGAGAACTAACTATTGGCTGGGCTTTTATACTAAACACTTTAAGGGCTGACGCCCATACACAACAGTATGCATTAAAATTAATTTTTAAATTAAGGAATAGTCAATGATAGGGAAAACCCATTAAATGATAAATTCCAAAATTTTGTTACAAATGAGCATTCAGATATATTAATGAAAAAATTAGCTAAACTAGCTATAGATCAACAAAATATTTCTAAAAGTGTAAAAAACAAAAAACCACAAAAAGAAAAAGCAAAGAAACAAAGTAAAAGTATAACAATTTCTCATGATAAGCCCAAAAAGGTTGCAATTAAAGAGGTACGATTAAATTATAATTTCCCTTTATATGTCCAAGATCCAAATTTATGGTTAGTCCAAATGATCATTTGAACAACCAATTGGGGTGTAAAAGTAAAATTTGGATTTTTCTTTGTTTCAAACTTTGGGTCTAGATCATTAACAGTTCTTCATCTTCGGGGCCTACGCCTACTTTATCTGGGACTGTTCCTCAACATATCTCTCGTAATTTCTGAGAGTTATAGCCTATTTTTAAAAAATTCTGAAAAACGATTATAATTTTCAGAAATTTTTAGGGATAGGTTAAGGAACGGTCCAAAACAAAGTGAGCGGTCCTAGACCGTCCAAATAATCAGACTACCCTACATTTAGGCGATGACTTATATTCATTATGAGTAGGGATCAGGTTTTATTGAAATAAAATCGCAAAATATTTATGGCCATAAAATATTAAAATAAATTGGCAATTTCATTTGAATATGCAGAATTGGTAATGGTGATACAGAGAATATAAAAATTCCTGCGAATTTCCGACAGTATTCACTGTAAATATCCGGAAACGGATACAAAATACATGTCCATTAAAATGTCTGTTAATATGTATTTATTCTAATATAAGGACAATCTCTATTATAATGACAGTCTCTAATAAAACGACACCCTAGAAGAGGGTTGAAAATAAAACGACATGTCGTTATATTATAATAAATAGGGTATGTAAAAATGATTAAATAATTTTAAGGTTCAAAATAAAAACTTAACAGAGGTTAAGAATGAAAAAGAGACAGAAACAAAAAATATAGCTACAATCAAGGATGTTGAGAAATCTATAAAAGTGGAGTACTTCACAGAGGATAAAAATTTGTTTGATATTTTTAATCAAATTGCTAAAGGAAAACATTCAATTAATCAAAGTTTTGTTGATGTTGGAATTTTTGCAAATGAGATTGGGAAGCGTTTTGCATTTTTGGAGAATTTAAAGAAAAATTATATTAAAGTATTTGAAATTTATTTTGTGAATTTTAAAAATTTTAAAAGAATGGAGAAGTATTGGGGAAATATTAAAGAAAAATTAATTTCAAAAAATGAAGATGGAGGAAATAGAAAAGTTGAAAATGATTTGTACTATTTTTTAATTGAAATATTAAAAGTAATAGATGGAAAGCTTTTATTAGACAAGGAAACATTTGGAAAAATTAAAGAAAATTTGTATTTGGAAAAGATTTCAAAATATTTTGTGGAATATAGCAAAATTAATTTTGATGTATTAACCGAAATTCAGAGACAATTTGTCAAAGAAATTTGTAAAGTAGAAGAAAAGGAGACTTTAGATGAATGGGTATTAAAAATAGAAAAAAGAATTAAAGAGCTAAAACAAATGAATGAACAGTTGGATATAGGTTTGTGTTTTAGAGACAGGGATAGCGCCGACAGAAAATCAAATTCCCAAATTTCGGGAATCGTAAATTCGCGAAAATTTTGAATTTACGATTTTCTGGAATCTTGAATTATGTATTGTGAAGTTCCCAAGTGTCTGCCTAATTAGGTTTATAAAAGTTGGTGCCAGCGTCAGTCTAGTCACGTGGGGAAGGATTGAGGGAGTGATTCCCACTTTTAGAAAGAACGGAGAACAACCCTAGATTTAAGGGAAATTTTTTCAAAAGCGGTTCGCATATAAAATATGTATTCCCTTTCTAGTAATTTATAAAAAATAATATTTTAAGATAACTCCGAAAATGTCCAAGCTTATTTTCATCCAGACTTATTCAAACCTTTATCTTTAAATGAAAACTGGAACGCTTTATCTACAAATGTTGATAAAGGAATTGTTCCAACAGATACATTTAAAGCACTTTTCGAGGAATGGAAAAATAATACAAAAAGAGAATGCATTAAAGAGATTAAAAATTTCCGATTATTTATGTCTTCTCCAGTGAATAAACAAGGAGGACATATACATGCAATTGTTTTAGCTATTGGAGCAGGGAAAGTTGACGATGATACAATTAAAGGATTATTTGTTAATGAGGCAAACATTGCTTTATTAAATTCATATAATAGCGAAGGTTTCGACAATTCGTTTTATTGTCATCTTTTTAAGGTAAGAGAGTTTTAAAGTGTCATTTTAAGTTTACTAACTACAAATGCTGATAATGATATTCCACTTAAGCAAGCAAAATTCAGAATCAATATCAGAACTTTTTTACCCTCGATTCAAATCAGAATAAATCTTATATCATTCGAAAGCCCGTAATAATTAAAGCAAGACGGATCGCTCCCTAAAAAGTTAACACATATACGTGTAAAAACAAGGTCCACTTAAGCAGATATCTCAAAAGCCCGACTCCGATTTATATATAATTATAATTTAGAAAGTCAGAAATCAACAGCTCAGTGGAGAGGACAAACTTTTCCACGTTTCTGACAAAAAAATTTATTATGAACAGAATGGTACAGAGTTTGAAATAACTTTTGTTTATTATAAAGAAGAACGTGTAGTTCAAACTGATACAAAGTGGATCGAAAATTTTATTAGGAAAATTTCAAAAAATTTAAATAAAAAGGGGAATAGCAATGAACAAAGACAAAATGCAGCGATTCTTTATAATCTTTCCTTGTTCAAAACTTATGAATATTTGGAGGAGTTATTAAAAAGTAAAAATGAGAAAGAACGAAATATTCTGAATCAAACTTTTATGGCTTTGAAAAATTGGGCAAAAGGTTTGGAATTTTTAAAATGTTAAGGTATATTGTGGAGCATGGCATACCAAGAACAGGTCAAATAACAAGAACTTTTATGAGGAAAATTTCAAAAAATTTAAATAAAAACTAATTTTTTTTTGTTTTTATTAAATTTTTTTGAAATTTCTAAGTCGAAGTGTTCAAAATGGGCCTGTTGGAATTTAAAATATTAACACACACATATAAAAAATGTAAACATAGTAATTTTGGCCTATGTAAACAATTTAATTCTTATCGGTAAAAAATTGTTTTTTTATAAAAAATTCTTTTAACTAAAAAGTCCAAAAAGAATCAAAATATTTTTGATTCCGAGACAATTCCTCCACTAGATGTTTGAAACTCATAGTTCTATGCACATCCAAACAACAGATTCGTTAATATCGTCGGCTCCATGTTATGATCTTAGAGTGATTTTACCTGTTATGAATTCGCCTTTTTCTCATTTATATAGAATTTAAAATTGCCACTAAATCTCAAATAGAATTTTTTAATAATAACCGAACTCTAAAAATTTATCTCAATTTTAGCTCATTGTGTTTACAACACTCAATTTGGATTTCTCGATGGAACTTCCATTTCTGTAATGATGACAAAAGTTTTTCTTTTATGTCCCGAAGCAAATGTGATTGAATTAATTGAACGTTTTTTCATAATATTTTCAACTTGGTAAATTTCCAAAAAAACTTCTAATATGTTAAATTTATTTAAGGAATTGGCAAGTTCCTCTTCGAATAAAAAACAAACAAAATAAAGAAGTGAAAGAAGAGAAAAATATTATAATTTACACTACAACACATCCTGAACATTCAATTACGAGCAAAATAACAAAGACAAATCAACAGATTATTTTGAATGCATTATTATTTGGCAATTATCTTAAATTAATTCCATAGGATTCTTTCGCCGGGGAACACTGTTAAAAATTTTCGGCTATATCTTAGGACATTTGTCCCATGAAAGTATATTAGTCGCATCAAATTATATGCGTCCCAGAATTAATATAAGCGCAAAACAATTAGTAAACATTTTTTAATTTTATTAATGACAATTAAATATTTTATTACATGTTACCTTGCTCTAATCACAACGACATTAAATTAATATTTAACATTCATATGGGCTAATTTCTTGTATTATACATATTTCCTGTTGTGTCAAAAATTAATTTAAAAATGAGATTAGTAAATTGATATGAACCATCAAAACAAATATTTTTCAGCAGATAATTCCTTTTTCATTTTGTTCCTAACACTTAAAAATAAATTTAATAATAGGTCTTCAAGATGTTGTCAAATTTATTTCAACTCAAACAAAAAGAGGATATCAAAAGAAAAATAAAAACGAATTGGATTATTTAAAAAAGAAGGCCGAAGGAACAGAATTCGTTAAAATTGTGAATTATTATTTGAAAATAAATAATTTTTAAATTTATTTCAGTACAAACATTTTATTGTTTTTTCGTGTATTACCGAAGATGAGGCCGGACAAGTAAATAGTTGTGGATTTTTGGAGAATTTGGATAAAATAAATGAACAAATTGAGAAAATTGAACAAATAGAAATTTTTCATATTGGATTAAAAACAGAGGATTGTCCTACAGAAATTAAAAAAATTAAAAATGAGGATGAAAAATTTGATGAAGAAGAAAATGTACAAGCAGGGAAACTATTAAAGTAGGAAAGAACAAAACACGGGTCCCTAACGGTCATACGGCACTTGCAGACGAGACATTTGCATACCCGACATTTGCACGTGACACGTCCCTAACATGTCGAAAAAAATTATATAATCAGCATTCAAAGCTGTTTCAAGATTTTATAATTTTTTATATTTAGTATTATTATTTTGATATAAAGTTAAGGCAGGGCTGTGCAGAACAAAAATCCCACTTGTCCTCTTTTCCAAAACAGCCATATGAAGTCTAAAAAAAATTCATTGAAAAACATTGTTAATAAAAACGTTGCGAAAGTCAATATAAAAATATTATTGACAGAAATTTGAGTTTCGTTAAGATTTCCAAGAACAAACAACCCTACTCCTCGCAAACAAATTAAACTTTTGAACAAAATAAAATTTGGACTAAAAATTTTCTTTAATATGTTTAAATTTTAGTTTAAATTTTTGTACTTCCTGGCTTGTTGGAATTAAAATTAAAGACAAAGTCTTAAACAAGGAAATGTTGAAATTTGAAATAGAAAAAAGTGTTGGAGCGACGGGAGTTACTGAAGATTTGAAAATATTTGTTATATTAAATTCGGAAATTGAAAATTGGTTTGTTTAAAACGAAAAAAATTTATGAAAATTAAATTTATTTTTAGGGGATTTGAATTGAATCAAAATGATTTTTGAATTAGTGCGAACTAACAAAAAGTTTAAAGATTGAAGAGTTTTTGAGGGTTTTGAAATTTTAAATTTTTTTTGTGCCTTTTTGCTTTTCATTAATCACTTTTCTATTTATCGCCAAATTAGGTTGGACACAGAAAAGTGTTAACAATTTTCGGGTTTCATCATTAAAAACCTTTTAAAAATTTATCAGATTTAACACTAAATTCTGGAATGATTTCGGGTACTTTATGGATATACCACACCCCGCCTATTTGTGTATCAGATTTTTTCAAGATGTGCTTCCTTCCGTCCGCGATTTCATTGTATTTCCCTTATGTCAACAAATAAAGCTTTGAAAAATTAATCACTTCTATATTAATGTCTCTCAGTTGAATTTGCCAAAGGAAAATAGAATGAAATCGAGGAAGGAAGAAAGCACATGTTGAAAAAACTCTGGTACTCAAAATAGGGGGGAGGGGTTGTTAATTCTGTCCTTTCAAAATTTTTTTAAATTAAAGTGATATTGTCCAGCTCTTTTGGAAATCAATCATTGTCAAAAAATTTTATATTTCGTAAATTTACTAGAATAGTCCATTTATCGTAACCGGCTCTTTAAACAATGATCCATGTATTTAATCCCACTCTCTAAAATTGTTCTACCCTCAAAATAGTCGTCTCACTATCAGGGCTGGACGCAATTGCGTGACGCAATGATTGAGTGAAATTTCGTTTTTTTTGACTTGCGGATTGCGGCTTCGGAAATTTTTTCCAATTGTGTCCAGCCCTGATCATTGTACAGATAAACATTTAATCTTTAATTATCCATCTGTCTTACAAAATTTTACAATTTCTGTTTTAAGAATTATTGCTTCGAGAAAAGTTATTTCGTGTTCGACATCGATATTATAATTCTCCTTTATATCAAAAATCCGAACATGCTAGTGTTCAGTTATCCAAGTCGGTGCAGAAAATTCGAAATAATTTTCCTATCTATTTCGTATTAATTTGCATTTTCATTTTGTTTCGATATTTTTATTTTGTTTCGGTAAATATATTTTTAGGGGATTTGAATTGAATCAAAACGATTTTTAAATTAATGCGAACAAAAATGTGTTAACGAAAAACGAATTCTGATAGTGCTGAAATTTTATACTCTTTTTGATATCATTTAATAATTGTTGTATTTATCACCAAATTAAGGATGGAAACGACTAACTTTATTAAAAAAACGACAAACTTCGCGCTCCCAATCAACGGAGCTCGTCCGTCGAATTAATTAAAAAACCTCTCCCTCTAAAAGTTTATTAAAATAAATAAATAAAATACAAATAAATGAGCCGGTCGAGGAGAGGACCTGGCCAAATCAAGATTAAAAACTGAAAAAGTTTGGTCTAGGTCCTCCCTCTTTTATTGACTAAAATTGGGGCGGAGAAAATAATAAAGTAATAAATAATTTCATGACAATTAGCATAGATCCTTTTAAATTTTTCATAGTCGAAAAATACATATGTTTGCTCGTATGTTTTCAAAAGATTGTTATTGGTGTAATTGTATTATTATTTTGAATTCGTAGTAATTTAAATATTAAGCGTTTAACAAACTTATATTCCTTTTTGTAAGCTTCATTATAGTCGCTACTGGAAATTTTAATTTTGTTAATCTTTTATTGTTTATAGCTTATAAGCCACTTAAATTTTTTAACTATACAAATTTACCAATTTATGTAAAGAATTGGGGCAGTAGATGCACTAGCGGTATTAAGTAAAACGGAAGGGATTATTCCATATAGTAATAAAGAAAATTCATTTGCACGTGTAATCGGGATTAATATATATTGAAATATCAATCCGCATAATATATATCCGCCAACATTGATTAAAACAATTAGTATGAGTGAACGATAAACCTTCATCGTGGCATCAGTTGAACCTAAATCATTTATATCTGATAGTTAACCGTTTCTTCTCTATTAATTCCACGGGGGAATTATTGTTTCAACCCAACTCTAGCATGTGGAATTAATCAAGAGGGTAAATTATTCGAGGGAGGTGAATTAATCGAGAAAATACGGTAACCGTTTGTTCCATTAAGAACTATTCCTAGAACACCTTTGCTACTATCAGGTCAGAAAAATTTGAAAAATCGATACTCTTATCATTAGGGATCAGATTTTTAGGACGTAAAAACTTAAAGCTAGGTACTAAATAGGTTGCTAAAAAGCCTAAAATAGTTTACAAAATCATAAAACACGTGACAAAAAAGTCGAGATAATTGGCAAAAATGGCAAGATGCCGTATAATTTCTATTTTCCGTTCAGAAATTTCATCTGCAAAGCAAAATTGATAAAAAAAATTCAAAATTTCCAATGGAAAATGATAATTTAGAAAAGCTTTTTTGAATTTTTTAAGAAAATATTTTCCAAAGATCAAAATTTTTTTGGTGGATTTGTGAGATGACATAATTTATAAAAATTTTAAAGGTTTTCCAAAAATTAATAAGAATTTTTGTTAAAAAATTGTATTTTTACGAAAAAATCCAAAATAAGAGAAAAAAGTGAAAAACCCACAAGTACATATGTAATTACGCGACGTTTTTTAATGCAATAGAAATTTTAATGCAGATATAACAATAAATAAGAATATTCGTTTAAAAATTTACCCTTTCTGAAGGCCAATATCAATCCAACAAGGGCATAAAAGATAATAATCGCAAGAAACATATATTGCATTAATGGGATAATTCCATTATCAACAATGACAATGTCATAAGCCTCATAATTAGTTCCATTTATTAACCAGTCAGGATAATCATAAACTGATTTGATTATCATTACAAGTATGAAGATTATGAACAAAAGAATAGCAAAAAGATGTGCACAAATATATCGCCGCTTATTGATATTTTTATAACTAAATTTTGAATTAATAGAAGCTTGAAATCTTGTATTCGATTTAGGACAGATTCGTTAATAGGCTTCTCAAAGTAATTTTTTAAAACGTCACATGAATTTGGGCAGTTCTAACTCTAAAACATTATTTTATCGAATTAAGGAATATAGCTTTTTCCTGTCTTTCGTTAGGTGTCCTGAAAATTGGGCTCTGGAAAATTGGGCTCCAAGATTTTTCGGAAAATTGGGCTCCAACTTTTCGGAAAATTGGGCTCCAGCGGAAATTTGGGCTCTACGTGAAAAAAACGGAAAATTGTGCTCCAATTTTTTAGGCGCGGGGAATTGTGGGCGTCAGAGTGAATTTTTGGATTTATTTTTTGGATTACCCGCGAGGCGCGTGCCGCAAAATCCCGCGCGAAGCGCGGGATTTTGCACAAGCGCCTCGCCGACGCCCATAGGTTTACGTTGTTTGATTTTGTGTCATTTTTCGAATAAATCTAAAAATTCACTCTGACGCCCACAATTCCCCGCGCCTAAAAAATTGGAGCCCAATTTTCCGTTTTTTTCACGTAAAGCCCAAATTTCCGCTGGAGCCCAATTTTCCGAAAAATCTAGGTGCCCAATTTTCCAGAGCCCAATTTTCCGGCACTCCTTTCGTTATTATATGTCTTTAGGGACCTGTTTTTGACCTATCTCATGTTCTATTTAACATTTCTTTAAATAATAATATTTTTGAAAATTAAAAGGGGGTTCCGTTAAAAATTTAAACAAATCGGACCTTAATAAAAGATAAAACCAAAAAAAATTTTTGGTGAATCTATAACAATAAACCTGAGCTTATTATAGATTGGTTGTTCCACTAGATTAACCAGATAAGTTAATCCATAATAATTATCTAATTAATTAACAAGAACAACTTTTAAAATTATCAAGCTCTATAACTCAATTTTAAAAATACATACAAAATTGGAAATGCAATAGCCAAAAGTCTGTCAAAACTAAGAGAAATCAAAGTAAAAATGACATTATAAAATCCAATTAGCGCAGGAGTTAAAAATACAACAGCCTTCCTCCATGGAACAAAATTGCGCCCACTTGCTGCTATTATTAAATAGTGAAATTGTCCAGTTTGTTGAAGTATTTCAAAAAAAGAGTTGATTATTATAAGTATTGCTGTGTTACTTTTTAATGCTTCATATTGTTTTCTAAAACGTTAAATTAATTCTATACTTTGTGGGTAAGAAAAATTTCTGCACTTATGTACCGCCGCCCATAAGTACCGTCCAATGTACCACGACATTTACATAAATCAAAGCATGAGAAATAATTGTTCCAGCAACAACTACATCAAATTATTTATCAAACCGCGGGAACTGTTGTTCCAACAACGTGGGATTGTGTTCAGTCAACTGGGAAATTGTTTGAACGACGGCGGGGGGAGTTCCAATGGTGACGGGGGATTTTGCTCCGTCAGGGGGAGGTGGGAAGATGTTCTAATGAACTATTATAAAGTCGCTTTTTGTGTCATAAGTTAATTTCGTCCCTCCATATCATATAAAAATTTGCTAAAATTACCTGTATTTGATTGTTATATAGCAAACACTAAAATTAAGCAAAATAGAAATAATTCCCAATATTGAATAAAGAATTGCCGGAAACAGAAATTCAAATATAATTCCTTTATCCTTGTAAGCAACATAATTAGGCTAAAATTAATTTATGTTTAATTTTATTTTAATTAATATACATCAACTTCAGGAGTCATCCTAAAAGCTAATAAAAATGTGTAATATCAAATTCTTATAGAATCAAATTTGAAAATAATTTTTGTAGAATTTTATTAAATTTAGCAAGATATTATGAAAAGTTTTATTAAATTAAGAATTTTTTACTCGGTATTTTTTTAAAAATTATAAGAATGATGGTCAATTAACTTAATATTTTTATAAAAAAATATATCTCAAAATATCTTATAATTATCTAACAAAAATATTAATAAATTTATTTACATAATTGGTATATATAATTTTTATTTAATAAAAAATGTTAAAATGGGATAGCTTAAGTTGACTTAAAATTACTAGATATGGATATGATAAAAAAATAATGCTATGTTTATTAAAATAATATTAAATGTGTTAAATGATTTTTGCAATTTAAAAGTGGATTAGCTACCTGATAAATGATTTAAATGCTTTTTTATCGTTGACTTGCATTTATTGTCTATGAAATTTTTTACGTATACAGGGTGGGGCAAAAGTTCGGATAAAATTTCAAGATAAAATTTGTAGAGCGCGAATCATAGAATATGGGAAATCTAATCAAAAAGCAAAATATAAAGTAAATTTTAAGAAAAGACAAAATAAAATTTGTCGCCGAACTTTTGCCCCACCCTGTATATTTTTGTAAGCTGAACACTACTGGCAAAATTTATTCTTTAATATATGTTATGTATATTATTTTATGTACATATTTTATGTCATGTTTATGTACATCTAAATTCAGGAATCAGGATTCAACCTAAATTCAGGGAATTGAGGAATTTTGAAATTAGGGAATCAAATAAAGGAAGTTAAACAACTGAAACTGAAGTAAATATTTTCACGTTTTGTTTGTTGTAATTTATGTAATTACCTAACGAAGAGGTGGCCAGGCTCTCCAAAGATAACACTAAATACGCGATCCAATTCATAATATTTATTTACACTACAAATGGAATACATAGTTTTGAAAATTAATATAAGGGGAAATAAACGACTATAATTAGTCTAAATAGCTTAATTGTCTAACTTTGAATTTCCTGTGGCGATTGCGGATCGGCGATATTCACTGTATTTGTTTATGTTCATATCATATGCTTTTCCACCTTTCCCTAACATATAATATTTTCCGCCATACTTAAACCATTTCTGCCAATCATTATATAAATTCGCATTAGACACTTTGTGTAATTCTCTTTGATTCAAATATTTTACTACATTTTTATTAAAAGCTTTTTTCTTTTCAATTATTGTTCCATCTATATCTGTCTCAAATTCATAACTCTCATCATCAAATAGAGGGTCTAGTCCATATACTATACAAACTAAATCTTCAGACGAATATTCTCCACCAAATAAATCAACATAAGTAATGAATTTAGTTCCTTCAGTTATAACCTCTCCATCATTTAAATCCATAGAAGTCTTAGCAATCACAAGCCCTAGACCTTTCTTGAATGTTCCCAGGGTATTTATCTCTTCAACCGACTCAACCTTAAATTTTGTTGAGACACATTTTTTGAGTTGCTCATCAACTTTTACAAAAATTTGGACGGCTTTTACAATGCTAGAAATGTAGAAGTTGATTCTGAAGTATTCGTCGTCTACATAAATGTATGTATATAATATAGTTGCTCTTTTCTTTGTAATGTGCACATATTTCAATATAATTAAAACCTTCCAAGTTTAATGACCATTTAAATTTGGTTAGAATAGCATCGTCATTATCGTCATGTTTGATCTCCGGTTGAAAATTTAGATTAGCATGGAAAAGTGGCTCAATTGTGATCAGATCCTTTATAAATAAGCTTTAATACAAATCAATGTCAATTATTATTTTTGGTTAATTTGTTGATAATTGTCAAACAAAATCCCAACACTGTATTCGGCGATAACGTTAGGAAAATTTCCTTCAAACATCCACTATTATAAAGACAAGGCACGCGGACATATCGGGACGGACAATCGGGATATTTCAATTAGAGTTCGAACCCGGGCCGGGCCCGGACCGGTTTTTTCCGGGCCCGGTGGCCCGGAACCGGGTATTTTTGAGAAACTCCGGTCTTCTGCCGAGGTTTTTGCTGAAGAAGAAAATGAAGAAGTCACAGTTCGTGCTGTGACGCAAGTGGTGTCTGATTCACCACCAGCAAAAAAAATCATTTATCATTGTGGAGTAGATTAGATAAAATCGCAGGAACTACAGGTTAGCATCAAACAATTTAGATATACATTTTCTAATTACAGCACCAAGCCCTAAAACAATTCCTAATCTTTTGGGCGAGTTTGAAGCATTTACTTGTGACGAGAGAGCTTCATCTGATTCCGATCCTTTGTATGTGTGGGAACAGTATGAAAAGGCTGGCCTATATCCTCAACTTTGTAAGGTTGCTAAAAAGTACTTATCCATTCCAGCTACAAGCGTTCCCAGCGAAGCTACATTTAATGTTGCACGTGATGTTTTCGACTATCGAAGGAGTAAATTAAGTCCAGAAACAGCTGAAAAATTGATTTTTTTGAATAAGTCACTACCACAAATAAATTATAAATATTGATTATTATTGATGCAGTTTTTTTAATTGCAAATAATATTTTTTGAAAAAATAAATAATTTTTTATTGTTTTTAATAAATTTAGAAAAAACCGGGTCCGGGCCCGGGTCTAAAAAAATCCGGTTTTTCCGGGCTAACCGGTTTGGCTGTACTTTAGTATAGGCCCACCGAGACCGGAACTTGTGGTATATAACATTCGATTCGTCTTGCCGAGCTAAGTTCAAATATGCAAGAATTTTCTGCGGGAGACGAAAACTCGCAGAGATACAGGCCCCCGAAAATTGAAAAACCATAGGGGGGACCAAGCACTTTTTTGGAGTGAAAAATTCGAATATGCAAATGATAGCTCATTCGAAAGAGCTCCTCGAGCTGAGTCGAATGACACCAAAATAAACAAAATCTGACTTGATTTGACAAAGTTATGATCTTTTATTTTAGCTCCTTACCTATGGCATTTGTGGAGATTTTTGCTGCTACGGAGGCCCCAAATACGTCCAGAGCAAGGGAGATAGGAATAGGGCGAAGCGCGGGGTTTTGCACAAGCGCCTCGCCGCCGACCCATAGGTTTAGGTATTTTGTTTTTTGTGTCATAACTTTGTTTAATCTTGTTCAAGCACGGTGATTTTGGTGTCATTCAACTCAGCTCGAGGAGCTCTTTCGAATGAGCTATCATTTGCATATTCGAATTTTTCACCCCAAAAAAGTGCTTGGTCCCCCCTATGGTTTTTCAATTTTCGGGGGCCTGTATCAGGGATGGGCGAAATCAAAAAATAAAAAGCGAAATGCGAAATGCGAAACTTTTTTTAAAAAAATAAAATGCGAAATGCGGAATGCGAAACTTTTCGCGCCAAAAAATGCGAAAAATGCGAAAGATGCGAAATGCGAAAATGCGAAATTATTTAAAATTCAAAAAATTTTATTCATATTCAAAATTATAAATTACGAGACAAAATTCGGGTCGAAGTATATGAATAAATTATCTGAATAATAGGGCAACTTCATTTTTCATCATTTTTCCGCCTTTAAGATTGTCAATTTTCCGTAATAGTTGAGTTTTGGGTCGAAAAAGAATGTCCAAAGACAGAAGACCCAGAGACAGAAGATTATTTTATTATTTTGGCGGGGAAAGTTGTCCCGTCAACGGTGGAAGTTGTCCCGTCAACGGGGGAAGTTGTCCCGTCAACGGGGGAAGTTGATCAGTTAACGGGGAAAGTTGTCCCGTTAATGGGGGAAGTTGTCCTGTTAATTAATCAACGGGGGGAACCCAGTGATGTCAAAGTTCCAGTTCCAGTTCCGGAACTAGTTAGTTCTAGTTCCAGTTCCGGAACTAGAACTACGGAACTAACGATTATCTGGAACTAGTTTGGAACTAGAACTACGGAACTAGTAAATGCTGGAACTAGCTTGGAACTGGAACTACGGAACTAGTAAATGTCTGGAACTAGCTTTGGAACTAGTTCTGGAACTAGTTCTTGGGGGTATATTTTTGACGAAATTTCCTCAAAGAAGTTTACGGGACGACCTTAGAAATTCTAAAAATTTTCGCCTGCGGCGCTGAAAAAGTTAATTTTTTTGGCCTACGCCTTAGAAATTTTCAAAATTTTCGCCTGCGGCGCTAAAAAAGGAAGAAATCTGGTGAATTGGTCTTTCAAAATTCTAAAAATTTTCGCCTGCGGCGCTGAAAAAGGAAGAAATCTGGTGAATTGGTCTTTCAAAATTCTAAAAATTTTCGCCTGCGGCGCTGAAAAAGTTAATTTTTTTGGCCTACGCCTTAGAAATTCTCAAAATTTTCGCCTGCGGCGCTAAAAAAGGAAGAAATCTGGTTTTTTTTTGGCCTCTTAATCCTCCAGTTTATCCTTCAATCTCCTTAAATCCTCCGTTATCACTCATAATCCTCTTATAACCCAGATTGTCTCGTGTCAAATGCACACTCCCACAATGCTCCGTGTTTTGTCGAGTGTCAAGTTTCCGTGCGAGCATCCGTGCGTGCGTCCGTGTCAAGTGCACCCCTTTTTCTTAATCCTTTTTAATCGTAATAGACTATAGAGGCTCAATGGGATATATACAAGGGAGATAATAATCTAAGACATAGCTTAAAGGCATATCTAAGCTGAAGGATTAATTGACAGAGTATTTGATGAGTTTTTTTCATATTCAAAAAAATTTAAAAATTTGGAACTAGAACTAGCTTGGAACTAGTTCCAGAACTGGAACTGGAACTAAGGAATTTCAAAAATGGAGTTCCGGAACTGGAACTGGAACTACAAAAATTAAAAACCTAGTTCTGGAACTGGAACTGGAACTACGAAAATTAAAAACCTAGTTCTGGAACTGGAACTAGTTCCAGAGAAATTTTGGAACTTTGACATCACTGGGGGAACCTAATAAGTCAACGGGGGAACCTAATAAAATAAGTTGTAATTAAATGTTCAGACAAATTCTCAGACAAAATATTATGAAATATTGTAAATTAATTTCTTTAAAATTTCACATGATTACATTAAAGTGCATATAAAATCAAATCACAAGCTTTTATAAACGACTTGCCCTTTTGCCGCTATGCGCTATAATTCTTTTTATTTATTATTGCGACATTCATTTACACTTTATATTTTTTAAAAGCTAGACTATTTAATTTAGAGTGCGACAGTTAAGAATCGTCTTTTTTAAGAGGTAAAACAGGAGGCTTCCTAGGATTAATTACTAAAATCCTCCATTGCTAAATGTTTATAAAACTCGCTATTCCGGAAACTCCTGAAGAAATTCAGTTCTATACCGCACTCATTTTTAGCGATATAGAACTTACAGTAAATATTTGCTATATTACGTTACATTTTCTAATCATAAATGTCTCTCGAGTTTTTATTCTATATTTGTTATTCACTATATGTTCTCAGTTTACTTAGGTCTCAGACAGATCCCACTTTTAATTATTAATAATTTAAGGAAATAATTAAATGTTTTGTTTGTTATTTTTATTTTGTTTTATTCCTATTAATGCAACAAAAAATGATATCATTAATAATAATGAAACGGAACAAATTGAAAATAAAGAGACAGAAGAAAAAATAATTCTGGATTATATAGAAGATAACAAGCAGCTTTTCAAAATGTATATTGAATATTTGAAGGAGCCCAAAGACGATTTATATTTGAGGAAACTTTCGCTTGCATCCTACAGTGAAAGCTGTAAAATATTTCTTACTGAAAGTAACTACAATTTTTTTGGAAGTTTCAACGAATCACAGGAAGGCACCTCGATAGATATAGAAAATGATGAAAATAAAGGCATTTCGTTCTCAGATGAATATAAAATCACAATTAAAAATTTTAAAGAAAAACTTGACAAATTAGACGAAGAAATAGAAAAGTATTCTGAAGAATGGCCATTAGAAAAACAGTTTTGCAAACTTTATAGCCTTATATATGCCTTGGTTCGAAATAAAATATTGATGGAAAATAAAAGATGGAAAGAGGAACTTGACAAGAATAAATCTATGCCTAGACATGTGAGGAATCTAACTAGAGTTGGATAGAACGATACTGGTATCGGCCAACCCGAGACCGAAATTGATCGATACACGAGAACCGATACCGAGACCGACAACATCATTTTGAGCCGAGACCGATACCGAGAAACGATACTGACCGAGTTATGTAAAAAATACGTGTGAAAATAATTTATTTATTATTTTCATAATCCAAATTATCAGATAAATACTCTTCATCATCCGAATCTTCCGCTTCATCTTTTTTATTAATATTTGGTTTCACAAATTTTATACTTGCCTTCTGAACATTCAATTTTTTAATATCATTTTATATAAAATACCTGTTCATTTAAGTTTCCACATGTCTTAATTTCTTTTAATTGTTGGTATAAGGATGAATCGCTTCTAAATGCTTCCAAAGACCAGTGGTTGATCAAAATTTTTTATCCTAAATTTATCTGGGCCGATTCATGACTAAACAATGCTGTCATTTCAGAACCGAACATTGGATTTTTATTTTTCATTTAACCGAAATTAAATTAAAATTTAAAAATTATTAGGATGACAATCTATTTGAAATAGAATTACAATGCGAAACAGAAGAAGAAATTAACATTACTGTAGAAAAATGGTTTAATTCGCCATCTTTTACTAAACAAGTCCAATATATACATTTTGAATGTCTCGTTATGTTATTCAGGATTTTTGAAAAGTCAATTTTAACCGATCATTCAATTATTGCATTAGTGAAACTGATTGGAAGTAATTATATAAAAAGGCTGAAGATGAAATATCCACAAATCTTATCATTATGTAAGATATTTTAAAAATATTTATTATTAACAACCCCAAACTAACAACCCCAAAAATATGTCTTTGGGTTGTTAATGTTTATTAAGGAAAATTGTGACCCTCCCAGGGTTGGGTCTCCCGAAGGTCGAGAGACTTTCGCGAGACGCACTGGGAGTCCGGTCCCCGAACTTAACTATGAACGATTAAAACAAATCTATCAACAAAATATTTTTATTCAACACAAAATGGGAAAGTTTAGTTGGGAGGGGAGGGAAGAAAAAGCCTTTTCTTTTTTAGCTGTTCGGATGACACAATGAATATTTTTTGGGCTTTTTATTCTTTTATAAAGCCGAGGGAACGTTGCTCAATAACAGCTGTCAGATCTATAACAATGTTATTAATGATTTGCTAATGTTGCGGCGAATATCCGAATTAGAAAGTCGTTGAGTAGATCCTGTCTACTTATCCTGCATACCATATATTTTTACAGTTCTTAATTTATATATTTAACTCAAACATAAATATTTACACTATAAATTCATCGTTTTAAAATTTATTTTTAAAAACTCATTTAGATTTAATTGAAAAATCATTGGAGCCGTCATATCGCTGGAAACTTTACGAGGATATTTTTCTAATAAACGTTCCAGAGGAACAAATACACGAAGAATTTGAAATAAATCATTTTACTAAAGAGGAAAATCAAATAAACTCAGCGATTTTAATGAGTAAAATTGAAATTTTTCAAAAAATACTTTTTGGATGTTTAACAAAATATGGTGAAGAAGATGTTTCAGATGATATTAAAGAGTTAAAAGAAGCCTTCAACGAAATAAAAGATGTCACACAATATTATCTTAAAAACTTCAATATAAAATATGTTGTTTATTTTTTGTTTAATTACTACGAATTATTAAATCAAGAAAGGATTAAATTCGTAGACCTAGCAAGGAATGGACGAATATTACAAATCGTTAAAGAAAATTATTTAATAACTACAAATATTGTTGGAAAGATGCAAAATGATCCGTTGATAAATAAACAATTTTTTACTAAAGTTAGGGAAAATCTTAGTAGAGAACATTTAAATTTTATGGAAAAAAAGTTTGAAGAAGATGAAAATTTTCCAAAATCATTTAGAAATAAAAGAGGAGCATGTTTTTTATTAATGTTATTTATTCCAAATGACAAACTAAAAACGGTTATGGCAAGATATGGTCTAATAGACAAGGACTGTAAGCTTATTTAAAAAATTATACATGTCGATTAATGGTTTGAATTAGGTACAATTCCAAATTTTCTGGAGTAGAAATGTCATTTTTTCTGGCAAATTATAATTATAGATTAAGTAAGATCAGATATCATTCGAAAAATAATGATTTCGATAAACGAGATCTTTGTCTATCTTCAAAGTTTGGTCTCGAGAAAGCTGATTCACCTAGAAGGTGGGATATACAAAAATTTTCGGTTCGGATACTAGTTCCAGAGGTTCAAAATTTTCTGTTAGGTCCGTAGAAAAAAGCGAAGAAATCTGGCTATTGACCTTCCGAAAATTATTAAAATCTAATTGTTAAAATAATTTAGTATTTCTCAATAATGATCATCTAACAAAGAATTATATCGAGGCTCTTACATCAAAAAATCCAGTTATTAAACAAACACGTTTTGTAATGACAAATTTTATTGCATGGTTCAGAACAATAAATTCTAAATTCTATCCGGAATGGAGATACTTGAAAAGGGAGAGTTTGAGAGTGGCTTGGGAGTCATTCGAAACTTTAATATATATAAAATACGAATATCTGTTTGTAATAGCTAAAGATGATGTAAATTCTGAAACTCATAATATATTTCGGATAATGGAAAAGACAAAGATTGAAATTCAATCAAAAATAGCTGAAGAGGTAAAAAATTTATTGCTATGATTTAAGTAAAAATATTTTAACTAGACTCAAAACTTATTTAGTTTTTTTGCTTGCAAAGAAATACATAGTGATAGGTTACTCTCGTGCTTATAAATTTAAAATGAAAGAATATTTTTAAATTTAGAAAATTTTTAAGAAAATTCTTGCTATAGCCTATAAAATAGATCTCTAGTAAATACTAGAGACTGGCAAAATCAAACTTCCGGGATCCCGAGTCAGGATTTTTTCTTAAACGATGCCATGACGGGATCCCGAGGGATAAATCCCAAAAAAAGTTCGGATCCCGAATGATCCCGAAAATCAAAAAATCCGGGATTTCATGATCGGGATACCGGAAATCTTGGGATCCCGTCCCGCGCCGGTCTCTAGTAAATCTACACTTTCCGTCAAAGTCACCATTTCCCAAATAAGCATACCCTCGAAAGACTAAAAATATTGCATATATAGTTATATTAAAAGATATACGGTATTTAAATTAACAGGAAAAAGGATTAAAAATGAAAGACTATGATAAATACATAGAATTTTTTACTAATTTAAAAACATGCATGACAATTGATGATAAACATAAAGAGGTTTCAGATGGTTTTAAAATTTGGATTAAGAAGGAAAACTACAAAATAATTATGGAATTATTAAACGAAGAAAACAGCAAACTATACGAAAGTGTAATTAAAAGTAGGTTAAGCCATATTAATGCCCAAAAAACACGTTTCTGCTTGGTTTGAAAACTTTAAAGAGGGTTTTTATTTGCATATAATGCATATTTTTGCACATTTCGGACTTGTTGTATATTTTAATGCATATTTTATATTATCTTGTAGTTTATATAATATTTGTATTTTATATTAAAATGCATATAAATGCACATTTATATTAGAATGCATTCTGGGGCAATATCGAAAAAATTGCCCAAAATACTGCCTAATTGGTGTAATTTTGGAAAATTTAGGAAAAAATTTGTAAAAATTATGCATTTCACAACTCTAAGTACTAATAACTGTGCTAAACCATAGGAAAAATATACATAATATAAAAAACTTTTTAGAATTAGATGAAGGAATAAGTCTAAATGAATTACAAAATAATTTTAAAAAATTCGTTGAAGATGAACATTTGGAAGAAATTATTAGCTTGTTGAAAAGTAATAAGTAAGGCTGTGATTTATAGGCAAATGCCTATTTTTTCTGCAAACTTGGGATGATGTAATAAGTTCAAAAAACGTGTTTTTAGCTTAGTCCGAAAAGTCTAGCATGACTTTTAACTTGCCTATTTCTGCCTATTTTGGACTTTTTGTGCCTTCTTGCCTATTTTGAAATTTCTGGTACTATTTTTGCCTTTTTTAGCGATTTTTTTTAAATTTTGCCTAAAAATCAGTGCAAAATCTAAAAAAAATCAGTCTTAAATTAGAAAAAATCAGTGCCAAGTCCCATTATTGATTTTTAGTTAGTTAAATTATTTATTTTTACTCTGTTGGACATTTTGAACTTGGACGATTTGGTTTTGGGACGTTTTGGTGTGCGGCGTTTTGTGTGTGGGCGAGATTTCCATTTTGTCAATCATCGACATTTTAAAAAAATTTACTCAATTTTTTTCAAAAATTGGTTCAAAATGACGAATAAATGTTAAAATTGTTTAATAAATAGTTTATAATTTAAAAAATGACGATTAAATGGTTATTTTTTTGTTTATATCTCCATTTTATGGTCTGATAACCTTTTTTACATGCCTATTTTTGTGCCTTTTTTGGCTTTTTGGTGCCTATTTTAGGCGCCTATTTCACTGATTTTACATGCCTAACTATCACAGCCTTAGTAATAAGACAAAAAAAGATGATAAAAAACAAGATAAGAAAGAAATAAAAAGGCTAAACAAAAAGGAAAAGAAAAAGATCAAAAAACTGGAAGAAGAAAAGAAAAGGGAAGAACAATTGAAGAAAAAGAATGAAGAAGATATTAAAATAGTTGATGAAATGATAAGAAAAAATATGAAAAAACTTGAGAAAATTGAAAAAGAATTATCGAAAATTGATATTTTGGAGAAACAAACAAAAGAGAAAGCTTTAGATAACCAAGCATCAATGGACGATAATAAGGTGAAGTAATCCGATACCGGTAGTACCAAAAAGTACCGCGATAGTACCGAACCGTCCGAACACTAGTAACAATTACTGATACCCATACCTAAATGTTTATTCGATTAGAAAAGCTCGAGAGAATCTTTACACAAAGATTTAATTGTGTAAATTATTTATTAATTTACAATTTAATTAATTTTCTTAATTCTGAGAGAATCTAGAAAAACTCTGAATATACCCTAAAATCCTAACGTTTAAATAGAGGAAAAAATGGGAGGGTTTTAACATAAAAATAACAAAAATTTACAAAGTGCAATGAATAATGGGAAAGAAGTAGGCGTATTTGATCACGCACGATAAAAAATAGAAATAAAAAAATAAAAATATTTCTACAAAAAAGACAAGGGACAAAAGGGTCAAAAATAATATAATACAAAAGTCGCATTTCGCGACAACATTGTTCGTAATCTTAGAATTATGGATACAAGATAACCTCTGGAGTTTCACTCTTGTATGCATTAAATAAACTAATTTTTTATAATTTATAGGTCAACAAAACTAAACAAATAACATCAAAAAATGAGTCTCCAGAATTAATTAATAAGCCAGAAAAAAGTGAAGATGAACAGAGAATAAAGAATTTTATTGAAGATAAAAATTTGTTTGAAATTTTTAATACATTTAATAAAGGAAAAACTCAAATTTCAAGGAAATTATTGAATATTTGTATTTTTGCAAATGAGATTGGAAAGCGTTTTGAATTTTTTGAGAAGCTTAAATTAAACAATAAATTAGTTTTTGGTGTGTATTTTGAGGAGGAAAAATTTTTGGAAATTGAAAAAAATTGGAAAGAAATTAAAGAAAAATCCTTGAAGGATATTAACGAAAATGAAATTGAAGAAGATTTGAAAATTTTATTAATTAATTTATTACCTTTATCTGAAAGAAACGAAATTCTAGAGAAAGATTTGGGTAGTAAATTGAAAGAAAAATTGTATTTTCAAAAAATTAGTGAATATTTTATTTACACAAAGGAGCAAAATATGAATGGAAAATTAACCAAAAATCAGAGAAATTTCGCTCAGGAAATGTTAAATATAACTGAAAAACAATTAAATGGAAAGATTGAGAATATTGAAACACACATTAATAAATTAATAAAGCTAAAGGAACAAATTGGAATAGGTAAGTAATTTATAGTGCTATTTTATTATAAATTTATTAAAATTTTTCGAGTTATAAAATTAAAAAAACATTAAGTATCTTGTGGTTACTTGAAGCCCCATTTAATTGTTTCTGAGAAAATTTTTGCACTATGAAATTGTTTTCAATTTAATAGAATTGTTTATTTTTAGTGAAATTAGTTTTGTTCGGAACCATGTTCCGTCGCGGAGCCATAGGTCCCCTACTGATTTTGGCAAGATGCCGCAGATTGGAAGTAATGGTGTAAAAAAAGTTTTCCCGCATAAATGAGCCTACCATGGACAATCCTGGCATGCCATATTTTGACAAATGAAGCCTAGTATATGTCAAAACAATCCATTAATTGTAGCTCATTTAAAATGAGACAAGAATGTTGCCGATTGAAAAATATTATATAAATTACCTATTATTAATATGTAATAAAAAATAATTAATAAATATTTATTGAAATAAAAAGTCGAACGTTTAAACGGGGTCTTCAAAAATAAACGTAACGGTATACGGGTCTCAGATAAACGGTATACGGTTTTTTCAAAATTAAACGGTTTTGTGCTACCCTAATTATAAAATTAAAAATTTATAAAGTGAAATTTCGGCAGAAACATTAGTGTCATGGAATAAATTTAAATATAATTTATTATAGATAAACAAGAGGATGTTGAAAATTATTTAAATCCAGAAGGATTTCAACCATTATCATTCTATGAGAGTTACAACGAAACATGTGAAGGAACAAACATTGGATCGGATGGTCTTCTCGAATTTAATAAAATTAGCGATCCTATGGAATTGTTAAATGCGGAATATGATGCCAAAACAATGATAAAGAATATGTATTTTAATAAAAAAGATGTCAAAAATCCAAAGGAATTCTTCCAAACACTTTTTAATAAATGGATAAATTTAACAAAAAATAACAATTTTGGATTATTAATGGCCAGTCCATACAATAAAATAGGAGGACATATACAAACAATTGTTGTTGCTGTCGGGACAGGAAAAGGAGAGGAAGAAGAAAAAATAAAAGCTAAACAAATATTTAAGGGAGGGCCAAATACATTTTGTAGACCTCCATTTGTGTATAATTGCTCGGATAATTCGCTTTTCTGTTATCTTTGCAAGGTATATTTGAAGTTTATATTAAATCGTGGACGTTGAAAGACCTTAAAAATATTCGTATCGTTTGCTAGCTAGTACCTTTTTTAGTTTATCATTAACTCTAATTATCAGTGACCCAGATATTTGAATATTCAATATTGTCTTCAATTTCAATTATTTTTTCAGAAAAGCAGGATAATAGAAAATCTCGAACGTTTATATTCGTCTGAGGAAGACATCCGTTTTAACATCGAATCAACAAATTTTGACATAACATTGGTACATAAACTGGAAACTCGAATAGTTCCAAATGATTCTAACTGGATTAAACTTACAAAAGAAGAAAATAGCAAAGATAGCTTTCAAAATTATAAGCTTGCTCAATTTAAAACTTTTGCATATTTGGAGAATCTAATTAAAAACAGAGACGAAAAAGAGCAAGAAATATTCAATCAAGCATTTATTTATTTAAAAAGATGGGCAGAAGGTTTACCTTTGTAATTGTTTATTTTATTTTAGGCTATTTTATTCGTGGCGCGACACATGAGGATTTGACTTTTAAAGATCCGACATTTGAGGACCGACTTTTGAGGACACGACCTTTAGATTGATTTTATAGATTTATACGTATTTGGTAATAGTAGAGATTAATGGTGGCTATTGAGAACAATTGGAGAAACTAAAAGATAGTTATTTCATAAAATATCATAATTAGAATTTACTGTTTAAAAATAAGTCGGGCAACAATGTCGCATGCAAATGTAGTAATCCCATACTATTTTTTGTGTTGATGTTTGAATTAACCCATCTTCATCTTAAAAATAGTTAGATAAACAAATAGATTACTAAGAAATGATAATCTATCAGATAACAGCAACTGGCAATGCAATTACGTACAGAAGCTATCTCCATGAGTTCAAAAAACGAGTGCAGTCATTCTCTTTTTCAAAAGTTTTTCTATCGAAAGAAACAAAACTCGATCAACGCCAATAATTATTTCAAGAATATCATTCATAATATTCTTTTAACTTTGTAAATAAGATAGTTTTGCGAAAATGTCCCATCACTGAGATAGGCCTTTAAATGTAAATAAAAATTTAATAAATATTATTTAGATTATTGTGTGTATAACCATCAATTTGGCTTTCTTGATGGAAATTCAATTTCAATAATGTTAACAAAAATATTTTTATTATACCCAGAGGCTAATTTCATTGAACTAGTTGAACGCTTCTTTTTTACATTTGTTACATGGTTATTATAAATAATTAAAATGAATACCAATTATTAATTTTAAGGAATTGGCAAATCCCAATTAGAATAAATAAACCAAAAAATCTTCATAACGTTCAACGAAAAGATAAATTAACTATTTACAGTCCAACATATCCTGAAATAACGCTTTCGTCTAAATTAACACAATCAACTTCAAAAATTATTGTTAATGTTTTGCTAAAAGGTGGTAGTGGGCAGTCGGAGCTTATTTTTAGAATGTTTAGAAAAATAAATTGTAAATAGAGTATGGAAAAATTGACAATTTTGTGCGTTGAGCACGAAGAGCTTAATGTTAGCCCCAAACTGAACTCGATAATTATAAATATTTTAAGTCCCTACACCAAACTTTTTTCTCATAACCGTTAATATTTAATAATCATCACATGTATCTTTATTTATTAGAACAAAAAATCTCCGTAGCCATTGCTTTTCCATATTCTATATTCGTAATAACGGAAGCATATTTCATTCAAAATTTCATTCCAAAGACTCCAAATCATTTAACTCCCCCAAAACGTTGTAATTTAATCACGATTTAAGGTCTGAACAAGCTTTATGATGTAGCATATTATTCTAAGATTCAAGACAAGAGTAATGAATCCAAACAAAAAAACATTGAAATCGGATTCTTGAAAATGGTAAATAACTCGAATAAATTTTTATAAAGTTTCTGTTTCAGTACAAAAATTATATTGTAATTTCTTGCATCTCAAAAATGCAAGCTACACAAGAACAATTTTGCCCATTTATTGAATCAAAACTTTATGATGAAATAGAACAATTACAACCGTTTGATGTAGTTGATTATTGTCATATAGGATTAAAAACCGAAAAATGTGGAAAGAAATTTGATCAAAGGTAAATATTTTATAAAAGTGCTAGCAAAATAAATTGCTTATGATTAGGGTTAAGCAGATTAATGATAAGGCATCGTAAGCCTTGGTTTATATATTAGTCTATAGAAAATCAAATTGTTTAATATGGTAACCAAGGGATTTGTCTTTAATATTGGTAAATCTTGCTAATAAAGCATGTGTTAATTACTGGTCTCGAAATTTTGGAGGAAGGGGAGGAAATTTCATGAAATTTTGGAGGAATTAGATATTTAACCTCTTGCTAATTATGTTAAATTTAAACGGCTAGATCTTCCGTCAAAATATTTAAATAATTAGTTAAAAATAAATTTAGAAGCAATTTTTGTACATCTTGGCTTCTGGGAATTAAATTTAATAAGAAAATGGATAAACAAATATCTGAAAATTTGAATGAAAAAGTCGAAAAATTAAAAGAAAAGCTCGTTAACCAGTTTGTATTGAAAAATATTGGGTCAAAAATAGAGGCAAGTAGCCAATTAGAGATTTTTGCGGTTAAATCAAGCGAAATTAAGAAATGGTATAATTAATTCTTATAATCTAACTTTTCTATTTTAGGGGGTTTATTGAAAATTAAATAGAAGTTTAAAAGCAAACTAAAGTTGATTACAAAATAATTAAACCAGAATTTCTATAAAGAAAAACTATATTGAATATTTGACATAATTAAACCAATATTTGTTTTCTAGAAGTTTACCGTTCATAACAAATCTATCTACAATACTATAAATCATACAAAATTTCTTTTCCAATGACCAATTTCTATTTTTAACAAGTTCCTCTTCCATCTCTGAAGCTTTTTCAGAAAATTCTTTGAAAATTTCAGCAAATTGATCATTCCATCCATAAATCTCTGGAGGAGAATTTTTATCCAAATCTTCTAACTTTGGATCTTCGTTTTTAAGTATATCCAAAAATATAAGCCTCGGCTTTTCATTTTCTCCCATAGATTTATCATCGTCTTCAGCCTTTAATTCTTTTCCAGCAACTTTTTCAAGAAATGCACTGCAACTGAAAATATATGCTTGCATCGAAAGTTCCCTCACAAATTTTTTATCGTAATCTTTTTCAAAATATTCCTCATAAAGATTATACAAAATGTTTCGTGTCCGGACAAAATATCGAATCGTTAAAATATGGAATAGGCTAAAAAAGGGTTAAAATCTCGAATCGGGTAAAAATGGGTTAAAATCGCGAATAGGCGAAAAAGGGGTTAAAATACCGAATCGTTAAAATATGGAATGGTTAAAATATCGAAACGGGTAAAAAAGGGTTAAAATATCGAATCGTCAAAATATCGAATTGATAAAATGTCGACACGGCCAAAATAGGTCAAAATGTCGAATTATTTTAAAAATTGTGCTAAAAACTAGAACCCGGACGGTACCGTAATACCGACGGTATTTTTCGGTATTTATTAGTATTCCGTATCGGTAGTACGGGCGGAATACTGACCGATAAAATTTAAAAGGTGAACCGTATTTTTCGGTATTCCGTACCGTGGTACGGTACAGGTACAAAATTCCGGTCTTTACTAAATACTAGGCACGCACTCTAATTTTTCCGGATCAAGAAATCGCGTTGCTTCCGGATCCGCACGATTATGCCGGACCGGATCCGGTCGGTTTTCTTGATTTATCCGGTCCGGTTTTGCTCGGTAAAATACACTGAACTCAGGCAGAAAAGATTACGCCGGACTACGACTTACCAAACTTATCAACCAACTTATCAGCAGTAAGTTGATACGGTGATAAAATTATCAACAATCAACGTATGGCACTCATCTGACCCTTTATTAAAGGAATTCGACATTTTGACCCATTTTGGCCGTGTCGACATTTTATCAATTCGATATTTTGACGATTCGATATTTTAACCCTTTTTTACCCGATTCGATATTTTAACCATTCCATATTTTAACGATTCGGTATTTTAACCCCTTTTTAGCCTATTCGCGATTTTAACCATTCCATATTTTAACGATTCGGTATTTTGTACCGGAGCCAAATGTTTTCGTCTTCAACTGACGGTGAATGAATACCAACGATACAACAAACAATCACAAAACATGTTGCTAACTTCATTGAAGAGCCAATCATGATTGTTTTTAAAATATTGTTAAATTTTAAAATGAATTCAAAAGAAGTAAATTAAAAGGGGGAATGAAGCGTCTGACTGATTTCTAAAAGTATAGAGGGGCTTTATAAATGTTGATTGAATGAAGGGAAATTTATTGGGAAAATTAAAAAAAAATTAAGAAAGGACAAATCTCACATTTTTCATTATCTTTTTTCCTCATTGGCTCTTAGTATGTCTGGCAAAAGCAACTGATCTATTAAAAATATATCCCTTCCCTTTACGTTTCCTTACATCAGTAGGAAATATTAAAGTTCGCGTTCATTTTTAAGGGTTCAAAATTTCATGTAGAGAAAGTACCTTTTCTCTACACTTTCCATCATAATTGTACTCTCTATAATCAAGTTTAAATTTGAGAGGGAACCACCATGAGTTCCGAACTGGACTTTTTTTTATTCAGATTGCAGTAAGATTAGTTCAATTTCTTAGAAATCCTTACTGTCTAGAGGCAATTTTTATGAATCATGAGACATCAAAGATACTTCTCACGAAGTTGTCGGTTCCAGGGAAATCTCCCCTATCCGGAACTGTGAACTTGATCTGAACTTAAAACTTCCGGATACAAATTAAGCACCATAACTTCGTCTAAGCTAGAACGAAAATCATTTAAAAAGTTAGGTAAAGGTTTGTTGGTCCAAAAACAAAAAAAATGGATAAATTTATTCTATCATCTTTTTAAATAAAAAAAGTTTTGTATTTCAATTAGAAATTAATAAAAATTAGATTCATGCAAAATGCCTTATAGGTTCCACGATCTGACTTAAATTTCCTCGAATGTTATTCCTTTCTCTCATAATGCCAATTCTAGCATTTCCATTTGATGATGATGCAATTATTGTTTGTTGAACAGGCTTTCCACAAAATAAATTTTTAAATGTATTTTTGAATGCTTTGTTGTAATCCGTACTGAAATAAAATTAATTACTTGGACTTAATTTTTATATTCCCCGTTGAAATTGGAAAAAATTTGTGTATTATTCGTGTTTCATCTTTATAGCCTATCTTGTCCTAGTCTAAACATATTAATAATTTTTGTTGTCCACTAGAATATAAGCTAAATTAGATTATCCTTATTATCATAAAGTTTTATTTGTATAATATCGTGGTTTTAATGATAATTGATCAAAAAATTTGTATAAACTTTCTTTAAAACAAATGTTTCAAACCTAAAAGCAAACAAAACAGGCAAATTACTGCCAGCTGAAACAACATACAAAAGGAGAGCTGGAACAATCACATAACTATCAATATCTGCAGCATTGAAAGATAACATGGGCAATAACATTATCCACATCAGCGACTGAAAATAATGAATTTTATTATAAGTATTGAGAGCTAAAGAATTATCGAAACTGTTATGTACTAAAAGTGGTATGCCTTTAGACTAGCATAATCTTACAAAAAATGTTTATAACCAGAGTAAATATAAGATAATGAAGGTAACAATAAACAGGAATATATGGCAAGCTCAGAATCAAAGGCTCATCAAGGCTGATCGCTAATTATTAATTTTATTCTACAGCTTAATTATTCTACAGTTAACTTTATTCTACAGTTAACTGATTTTATTAACATTTTCAAAATTTATAAACTAACATTAAAATATCCAAATAAATTAATCAAAATGATTGCTGTCAATGATTTTATTAAACGTTTATTAATAGAACTTTGTTCCTTTCTGATCGCCATTAATATCCAAATAGTTATATAACAAACAATTGTTAATAAATTATAAACATTTGCAGTTATAAGTGTCTCTTCTTTAATTTCTGGTTGAACCATGGAAAGAGTGTCGCACATTGTTGGTCTATTGATAAAATTATATTTTTAAATTTTGAATTTTAAATTTTGAATGGGAAAATAACAAACTTTATCAAAGATCATATGAAATAACAAATTAAAATACCTATCAGGAAAGCTGATCGCACTGATTAACTGATTCCAAAAAGTTCGGGCTGAGTACATCATTATTAGAATAAAGATAACAATCGTAGACTTGTTATGATCGTTGACATTATACCTATAATTATCAGTGTGTTAAGAATGAAATTTTAAATTAAATTTCTTTAATGAAATTTCTTAACACCTAATACAGGTGTTAAAAATGAAAAAACATTCCACGATATTCTACTTAATCCACACTTTATGTAAAAATTACCAGACAGGAAAAGCAACACTAAGCAATCTGTCAACACCAGTATAAAATTGAATTTGAATAGCCAATGCTACAGAAGTCATAGGGAAGACTTGGATAAAATAACATGTACGAAGACTAATAAAATTAATTCCAAAGAGGAGGATAAAAAATTTGTAACTCATTCCAAAGTGGATTGGTAAGTTAAAGAATGAACTCATTCCAATGTAGATATTACAACGATGATGAAAACATCTGAAAAATAGTCCTTTATTGAATGATAGAATGCCATAATTAGGGTTGGTGGTTTGGAACAGATCCAAAAAACTAGCGAATTTTGTTAGCTTATTTGAAACAATATTCAAAATAGTAAAGTTATATCTAACATGTTGAACGATTATTAGGTATTTTATAGAGATGTGCGAGACCGAAATTTTTCCAAGACTCAAGACTCAAGACCCAAGACAAAATTTTTTCCAAGACCAAGACACAAGACCAAGACCAAAACTCCAAGACTCAAGACCAAAAATCAAGACCAAATTTTTAAATCCCATAGGTCAAATTTTTGGTTTATTTTTTGTTATTTTGATACGATCACAGTCAACTACAGCACAATTATCTATAATTTCGAAAAATTTATGCGAAATTCAAAGAATTTCGAGGAATTTATTCTGTGGAAAATCAATAAAATAGGTTATTATTTCAGAGGGTTTGGGTGGATTAACGGGATATTAGTGATATCAAAAGATTAAGAGGGATAGCCGTGGGATTTAGCGCCGCAGGCAAAAATTTTGAGGATTATGAAAGCAAAGAAGCCAAAAATCTTCCTTTTCCTGCGCCGCAGGCAAAAATTTTGAAAATTTTGGATGGCCGTAGGCCAAAAAATTCACATTTTCAGCGCCGCAGGCGAAAATTTTTTGAATTTTGGAGCTCAAGAAGCCAGATTTCTTCCATTTTCTGCGCCGCAGGCGAAAATTTTGAGGATTTTGGATGGCCAAGCACCAGGTCCAAAAAGCCAAAAAACCAAGACCAAAAAATAAAACCAAGACAAGACCAAGACAAACACCCCAAGACCAAGACCAAGACCAAGACCGAAAAAAAACCAAGAAAAGTCTTGGTTCCAAGACCAAGACCAAGAGTCTCGCACATCTCTAGTATTTTATAATTTATTTATTATACTTATTTTTCCAAGTTGTATATGCCATAAAAGAATTGAATATAAATGCAACAATACTTAAAACGAAAATGCTGCTATATTTTGCTGTTAATATGTAAAGTGTTCCGGTAGAGTTGTAATAATTGAAAACCTAAATTTTATTTTTACTCTTATGAAATAAAATTTAATTACCGGGTCGTTGGGTGTAAGCATTTTTGTATATCAAAGCCTGGTTTGTAAAACAATAAACTGATAGAAATTTTTAATTAAGACAACGCCCCCCCCCCCCTCCCTTAGCATATAGAAATACTGTTACACATTCCTCCAATAATGAAATGAGCAATCAAATGGTATGTGTACAACAATATTTTTAACAGATTCAGTTTAGTACCATAAAATCAAAGGGAACACAAAGCTAAAGGAATAGAGGAATCGGACAATAGGTTCTAACCGGAAACATATAACGATAATCATCGCTATTAGCATCTGATATAGGCTTATAATCATAGTGGATGCTTATAGCAATAGATTGGACGCATAAAAATGTTTTTGAACTTAAAATATATAAAGTTCTTGAACTTTATAATTATTCCACTTTATTCCACTAATTAATAATAATTAATTAATTAATAACGAATAAAAGTTGATTTGAATCCAAATATTTTTTTAAACATTTAGAAAAATGTTAAGTAAAATATAATAAGAAAATTAGAGGCAAAAAATATGGCTGACACATTTTATTTCACTTTAAAATAAAAATGTCTGTCTTAATTATTCATTTAAGCTACAAAACTCTAACATATTTCTAATTAAGATATCATTATTTTATAATTATTCCACTTTTTTAAACAACAATTTTAAAGTTCAGGCGTAAAATTAATACGAAGTACTGTAACAAGTGTACTAAACATTTATGTACTTTTTGTTACAAATTTATGCTCAATATTATAAAAAAGGTTTTTAATTAAAATTTGTTGAGTTAGATTGTATTCAATTTATTTAGTGTCAAAATACTTTGTTGTAAATTTTTTTTTAAATTTATCTAATGAAGCAAGAAATTTAAATAAACAAATGGAAATAAATAATTTTTTAGCAGAAATGTATAAAATTTACTAGTCAAAGCAATTAAATTTGTAAAAAATAAAAATATAAAATATACTAGGATAATGACGATTGATTATTGTCCGATATTTTTAAATAAGTTGACGAAAGTAAAATCACGTTGAGGTTTAGTTAGTATAGTTAAACATGTTAGGTTGTTTGGAAAAGTAGAAAAGTCCGTTGCGGCACTCTTAGATTGTAGGAGATAAAGCAGCTTATTAAAGTTCGTTGAGACTTTACAACCCGTTAAATCTATTGTTTTTAGAACGATAATCGTTAATTCGTAATTCAATACGACTACACCGACTTTTTCTCAAACAACATATTAACAACAGTAATTTCAACAGTACATTCGATAGCTTGTTTTCGACAATATCCAAGATTTGAAATCCATTAAAATGTTCCCAGGAATTTATAAAAATAAAATATAGTATAATTATTCGTTTTATCTCAACTCAAAATATTACAATTTCATTTATGTTTTGTAAAATCTTTCAATTAATTTTTTCTCTTTTTAAACATTCTTTAATTGCAAGTAACAATAGAGCACACTCTGACTGCTCTAATAATCTGTATCTGGCTCACTTTGCTTAAATCATGACGTGTAAATCTGAGATATGCCACGAAATTCACAAAAACCTTAAATTAAAATTAAAAACTTTAAGAAATAATTTGAATATTACTTCAATTTGATTGTTCAGCCCAGCCTTGATTTCTAAAACAAATGGCTCGCCAACTTTAAACGGTGAATGTCCATAAGTCAGTTCCGTTTCCCATCCAACCCCTATTAACATAGTGTTGACTGTAACCTTTAAAAAATTTTTTATTTGTTTTTCTATTATAAAGCTATTTTTTACTGATTTAGAATTTAATTGGGGGCTGAAACTGAAAAGAACATTAGCAGTCTCTCTCATAATGCCAGGCTCTCCTAGGCCAACAACAAAGTCGGGAAAAGAATCAGTTGGTGTTCCAATAATTGTAATATGTTTTCCTGGTTTAAATCCGTTTTCTAAGTTGATTGCTATTGGTATTACCTTTAATAATAAATTTTTTATTAAAATATATTTAAATGATTTAAGTATAATCCGGCATAATAAATATCAAGATAAAGCTTTTTTATCAAATTAATTTCTGAAAAAATAAACTTTTACTAAGAAAACTTAATTTTTAAATTATTTTAATTGGAGAGGTAATTTATTTTTGGATGAATCAGCCCCAAGATAAAACATTATAAATTAAAAACAAATAAATTATCAACTAACCAAATCCAATTTAAGTGAAAAATAAGGACAAGGAACATTGGGAGGAGGTGTAGTTGGAGTTATTGCTGTTGTTGTGGTGATTTCATCAGCTCTGCACAATCTAATAGAGCTAATTCTGATAGCATAAGAAAAGTCAAGTTGGACAACTCCACTCAAATCTTCACGTGAAAATGTTTTATAGAGTTTGCCATCGACAATTATCTGTAAAGATTTTTTGCATAATGACAAATTATAATAAAATTCCTCACTCTTATTGTATTGTCAGCTTCAGCAATCCATTCCATAACAAATTCGTTGTTAGGATTAAAGGGATAAACGCCTGTTTTATCTTCAGGTGTCCAACCTTTTCCTTTCATCCAACTATTACAAACAACCTTAAAATAATTTTTTATTACCTCAAATATGTATAAATATTTTTAATTAATTATGTACTTGTTTTAGATTATTGTCTGGACTAAAATGGAATAAAGCTTCAGCAGTTACCAAAAGCACACCGACATTTCCCAGTTTAATACAACTTCCACCATTTAGTAACTTTCCAGTCATAATAATACTCTTGCCTTCAGTAAACCCAATTCCAAATCCATAGTTAAGAAGATTAACGTTTCCAATTGACTAAATTTCGTGTTTATTTGCGAAAAATAAGTAAATATATTCTCTGCTAACCACGTTAGTTATAAGAACTTCATTGGGACAATTTGGAGGAGGTGTTGGTGTTGTTGGTATCTCAGGTGTAGTTGTTTCTATATCTTGTCGGCACAATCTAACAGAGCTTATTTTGATAGCATACGAAAAGTCCAGTTGCTCAACATCACTCAAATCTTCACGAGAGAACCTTCTCCATAAGAGGCCGTCAACATTCATCTAATCAAATTTTTCAAATAAAGACAAATTATGATAAAATCCCCTCACTCTTATTGTATTGTTAGGTTCAGCAATCCATTCCATAACGAATTGGTTAGACTTAAAAGGATAACCTCCAGTTCTATCTTCAGGTGTCCAACCTTTGCCTTTTATCCAACTATTACAAATTGTCTAAAACAATTTTATATTCACTCAAATATTTTTTAATTACTCACAAGTTTTTTAGTAGGGTCTGTAGCAAGATGGTATTTAACATCAGCAGTTACCAAAATCACACCCTTATTTGCCAGTTTAATACAACTTCCACCATTTAGAAAAGTTCCAGTAATAATAATACTCTTGCCTACAGTAAACCCAATTCCAAATCCATATTTAAGAAGATTAATGTTTCCAATTGACTAAATTTTTTAGTTTAAACATAGCTTAATAAACTCCTTACTAACCACGTTAGTTATTAAAATTTCATTGGGACACGTTGGAGGAGGAGTTGATGTTGTTTGTATCTCTGTTGTAGTAGTTTCTATATCTGGTCGGCACAATCTAATAGAGCTAATTCTGATAGCATAAGAAAAGTCAAGTTGGACAACTCCACTCAAATCTTCACGTTTAAATGTTTTATAGAGTTTGCCATCGACAATAATCTTAAATGTTTGAGATTCCTTAGATTTAAATTAAATTAAAGAGACGAACAAAGCTTTTCGACTTTTTTTAAATTAATTTTGTTGGTCAAATAAGCCGAATACAGCTTCTTAAATAGGGTTAGCAAAATTGTTTTAATAGGGTAACTCGAAATGTGCCCCGAATAGTTAGACAAAAAACATGATATTCGGGTTTATTGTTAATGAGTAGAGCTGACACCCCGAAACTATTCACGATAATTTAATAAATATTCAGGATCAGAATACGGATATTCCTGTATTTTCTGTTCAAATATCCCAGATTCGCCAACCCTAATCTATATAAATTTCCAATCCATTTTCCAATTTTTTTTGCCTCATTTGCACCTATAGTTTAGGGGCAAATGAGCGCTAACATATTTTGATTTTTTATCTTATCAAACAGCCTGAACGCAAATTATAATAAATCCCCTCACTCTTATTGTATTATCAGCTTCAGCAATCCATTCCATAACAAATTCGTTGTTAGGATTGAAGGGATAAACGCCTGTTTTATCCTCAGGTGTCCAACCTTTTCCTTTCATCCAACTATTACAAATAACCTTTAAATAATTTATTATTCACTCAAATATGTATAACTATTTTATGTACTTGTTTTTTATTATTGTCTGGACTAAGATGGAAGACAGCATCAGCAGTTACCAAAAGCACACCAGCAGTTCCCAGTTTAATACAACTTCCACCATTTAGTAATTTTCCAGTCATAATAATACTCTTGCCTTCAGTAAACCCAATTCCAAATCCATAGTTAAGAAGATTAACGTTTCCAATTGACTAAATTTCGTGTTTATTTGCGAAAAATAAGTAAATATATTCTCTGCTAACCACGTTAGTTATAAGAACTTCATTGGGACAATTTGGAGGAGGTGTTGGGGTTGTTGGTATCTCAGGTGTAGTTGTTTCTATATCTTGTCGGCACAATCTAACAGAGCTTATTTTGATAGCATAAGAAAAGTCCAGTTGCTCAACATCACTCAAATCTTCACGAGAAAACGTTCTCCAGAATTTGCCGTCAACGTTCATCTAATCAAATTTTTCAACTAAAGACAAATTATAATAAATCCCTCACTCTTATTGTATTGTTAGGTTCAGCAATCCATTCCATAACGAATTGGTTAGACTTAAAAGGATAACCTCCAGTTCTATCTTCAGGTGTCCAACCTTTGCCTTTTATCCAACTATTACAAATTGTCTTAAAATAATTTTATATTCACTCAAATATTTTTTAATTACTCACAAGTTTTTTAGTAGGGTCTGTAGCAAGATGGCATTTAACATCAGCATTTACCAAAATCACACCCTTATTTGCCAGTTTAATACAACTTCCGCCATTTAGAAAAGTTCCAGTAATAATAATACTCTTGCCTACAGTAAACCCAATTCCAAATCCATATTTAAGAAGATTAATGTTTCCAATTGACTAAATTTTTTGAGTTTTTATTTAAACATATCTTGATACATTCATTACTAACCACGTTAGTTATAAGAACTTCATTGGGACATGTTGGAGGAGGTGGTGTTGGATCAGGTTTTCCTCCACACAATTTTATAGAGCTAATTTCAATAGCATCAACAATATTAAGTTGGGCAACTTTACTCGTATCCCATTTATTATAAGTTGTAAAATAGTTTTTGTCGATGTTGATCTTGAAATTATTAAACTTTTCTAACTTAGTTAAACACTTACAGTTATTGCATTGTTAGGTCCCGCAATCCATTCCATCTCGAATTGGTTATTTGATTTAATTGGCCATCCACCACTTGAATCTACAGGTGTCCATCCCGTTGCTTTACTCCAACTATTTCGTTCAATCTTAATTTAATTTTACCATCAACTTTTTTTGATTATTTTCTTACATGTTTGTTGAAAATCCCTGGTCGTGGACTAAAGTGTAAAACAACGGAAGCATTCCCCAAAATCACTCCTGGTTCTGCCAATTTAATACAACTTGATCCTGATTTTATTTTTCCAACAAATTGAATACTCTTGCCAGGTGTAAAGCCTAATCCAAATCCAAGTTTAACCAAATCAAATGTTGATGGTACTTTCTTAATTATATATTTTAATTTATAGAATTTTAATTTAATAGAATTTAAAATCGTATTCTTAAGTTGAAATTTTGTAATTTATAGAGCCCTAACTCGGCAAATTTTAAATTTTTGCAGGAATATTTTTAAAATTTTATCGCTTAAACTCTTCGCCGATTTTCTAAATCATCGTTAGCGTTTAGCTAATTAACATATCCCTTACCACATTATCGATAACAATTGGATTTTCACACTTTGGAGGAGGTGGTGTTGGATCAGGTTTTCCTCCACACAATTTTATAGAGCTAATTTCAATAGCATCAACAATATTAAGCTGGGCAACTTTACTAGTATCCCATTTATTATAAGTTGTAAAAGGTTTTTTGTCGATGTTGATCTTGAAATTATTTAACTTTTATAACGATAGACAGGATTTTTAGGCAAATGTCTGTTTTTTCCCAAATAGGCCTGATGCTGAAACGTCCAAATCAGGTGTTATTATACTGAAATCTTCTTTCTAACTAATTTTATCGTTGCCTAAAATTGTTATTTTAACTTTTTCTGGCAAAATGCCCTATTTTGCCTTTTTTCAGCCTATTTTGCATATTTTTACTTAAATTTGCGAATTTTTGGACATTTTTTGAGAAAATTCTTGCCAAAAAAATTTTTTCAGGTAAAATATAAAAATTTCCCAAAAAATTTTTGTCAAAAAATTTTTTTGGGAAAAATTTTTCTTGAAAATTTATCAAATTATTTTTGGAAACAAAATAATTAACATAAATTAATTTATATGTAATTCTGATCGTCAATATTAATTTATTTAACAGTTTATTGCTTAGATTTATCTTTTTTTTTATGAAATTTAGTCAATATAAATCAGAAAATCTCGAAAAAATACTGCCTATTTTGCCTTTTTTCGGATTTTAGTGCCTATTTTGGCAGTTAGTTATTGCCTATATAGGCGCCTATTTTTAAATTTATCGTGCCTAAAAATCCTGTCTCTAATTATAACATAGTTAAACACTTACATTTATTGCATTATTAGGTCCCGCAATCCATTCCATCTCGAATTGATTATTTGATTTAATAGGCCATCCACCACTTGAATCTACAGGTGTCCATCCCGTTGCTTTACTCCAACTATTTCGTTCAATCTGAATTTAATTTTATGGTACCATCTTTTTTTGATTATTTTCTTACATGTTTGTTGAAAATCCCTGGTCGTGGACTAAAATGTAAAACAACGGCTCCAGACTCCAAAATCTTTCCTGGTTCTGCCAATTTAATACAACTTGAACCTAATTTTATTCTTCCAACAAATTGAATACTCTTGCCAGGTGTAAAGCCTAATCCAAATCCGAGTTTAACCAAGTCATATGTTGCTGGTACTTTCTTAATTATATAATTTATGTAGAATTTGAAATCTAAGTTTTAAATTTATCATAATAATTTAATAAAACATTCTACCCAATAAGTCTGTAAAATTAAAAATTATCCCAATTATAATAAAAATTCTACTAAAATTTCTTCTATAATAAAAAAATATTTTCTAACAACATTATTTATTAAAATTGGATTTTCGCATTTTTGTGCCTCGATTCTTGTAACAATAAATTGTAAATATATTACTAATAAACTGAGCAAAATTAACTAAAATTTAAATTTTTATTTTAAATTAGTTTTATTTTTTAAATTACCTTCATTTCTGAAGTTACAAGGGTACAAATAGTAATCGGGCTTAAGCTAGTGAAAAGCAACTTACTTCAATATTTTATTCAAATAATTTAGTCAATAATTTTTAAATAATTTAAATTTGAACTAATTTACACCATCTTATATATACAGACATTATAATAATTTAAAATTATATTTACTTCCTTCTCGTAATTTTTCTGTCGAATATTGTTTGTTTGACAATTCCAACATGCTATCAAATAAAAAACAAAAATAAATTTTTGTGAATAAAGAAAAGGAAAATTTTCTTTTAAATTTACAATCAAATTTATTTATCAACAATTTATTTCTAATATTTATTTAATTTATCATTTAACAACGTTTCCTTTATTTTTTATATTGAATAAATCCAACGCTTTATTTCCGAAAAATAATATTTTTAATCATACGATGAATATTTCTGAATTCATAAACAAAAATTAATCGTTTATTTGTTCTGTACAAGACTAAAACTAAATGGAAGGAAATTTATTTTATTTATTTAAAAACTAATATTTACTAAATAATTAACTCTAAATTGTTGAAGATACAGTAAATGCACGAATAATTACCCCCTATAGCGAGAGGTTGAAATCAGACCTGCTGATGGATACGGATATGGATACAGATGCCTGCGGATATCCTCCTGTATCCGACGTAAATATACGGATACCAGAATCAGTATCTGTAAGTAGGTCTGATTGAAACACTATTTATCCAGAACAAATATTTTAAATGTAATTTTATTTTAAGTGCACAATTCTTTAAATATTTTTACTGGTAATTTTTTTCAAAAATAAAAAAAAACTTTTAATAATTTAAAATTTAATTAAAAATTACAAATTTCGTCAATAATTAAAACACTCTCATTCAAACATTAAAATTCACCTTAGAAAAAATTTTCTTTCTCATTTCTCAGTGAGTATAAGAAACATTTCTCTCCCTCATGTATTCTCTCTCCCTCAGTATAAGAAACATTTCTCTCCCTCAACATTTCTCTCCCTCATGTATGTTTTATGTAAATAAAATATTATAGCATCAACAATTTTTTGGTAAAAAATAATTTTTCTGTCAAAAAATTAAATTCAGACATGCTGTCATTTAATTTTAACTTCCCATCTCAATTTAATTTTTTTATCAAAAATGTGAGTCTTCCACGTTTGAATTTTTTATTTTAAACTTAAAATGGTTAGTAAAAATTCGAGACTCTGGCCATGTTCCACTGAAAGCTTATGATTCCGATGAAGGTTTATGACCCCATGAGAGCATATGAGTCCGATCAAAAGTTTATCAGTTTAAACAAAATTTTATTCAATAAAAAAGTAAAAAATTTATGAAAATATTTTTTAAAATCTATTTTGATTGTTTACAGATAAATTCAATTTCGGGGAATTTGCCGGCAAAACCTTAATTGTTGTTTGACCTTTTTGTATGATTTTAGTTGTTTGTGCCATTGATCCAATAAATCTTTCATGAAGTTTTTTCGGTAGTATTGTTTCAAGAAATTTAATTCTAAATGATTTACTTGCCCAAAGTAATGGCCAACTTGGCAATACAACAAGTCCAATGTCCATAACAATTGTAAAGATACAGTCAATAAATGATATGAATGATAGTAGGCCACAAGTGGCTCCAACATAGGCCATAATCTGATTTAGAAAATTAATTAATATAATATCTTTTTATTTTTTTTATCTTTTTTCTTTACAATAATTTTCGTTAAATTAAGTTCTTTATTTTATTAACGGCAACAATATTATAATTATTAACGGCAATAACAACACGCAAGTTTAAGAGGAACATTTTCTAGGTTTGGATATGTTTGGCAATGGACTGTCTAGATTAATACGTTCATTATTACTTATTACAATGATTAATAAATTGGGTAGCTAAATAATATTGAGAGTTAAGTTAAAAATCATCTGAAAAATTCTCTTAAGGCAACAAGTAAAATTAGACTTACAACTACAATTGCCATAAGCATTTGGCCAAACGAGGATATCAAAGCGAAAATCCACAATCTTCGCTCAATTTTATCTTCAAAATTTTTATTTCCAGCAATATTAATCGTCTTTTTGTAAGTAAAAATAATCAGTAAATTAAGTATAATGAAAGCAAAAAGAAAGAAAATTGCTTCGATTGTGCTTAATTGCAAATAGAAATTAAGCCTTCCTTCCTTTAAATATTTAAATGATTTATATATTTTTATAATTAAACCAACATTTCCTAATTCAACAACATCAATAGAAACAATAATTTCATTATTTTCATCTCTTTGAATAAAATAAGTGAAACTAATTGTGAGAATCCCAACACTATAGAGGGGTAATGCAAAGCAAAGAAAACATGCGATCAGATGGATCTTTTGCCATAACTTAATTTTAAATTAACATTAAAAAGGTATAATACAGATTTTTCATGAATATAAAATTTTTTCAGACTTCAGCTGCAAAAAAGTCTTGACTCAAACTATTTAAAATTTAAATTAGGAAAGTTGTTTGGACATTAATTCTAAAAAAAGTTTCTATGAAGATTCTATTGATATTGCGCATAAAAGGAAAAAGAACGGAGCTAAAACTTT